GGGGGGGGGGGATGGAGAGAAGTATTCCTAGTCATGCTATAAGTTTTAACTTTAACTTCCCTTGTAGTCCAGGAGTTAACCTTTGCCTTACCTACGATAGTGATCGCAAGTAATATATAACACATGCATAAATAAGAGTTAATACAACTAACATTATCTTACTGTTTTTCCTGATGGCAAGGAAAACTAACGCAAAGAAAACAGCATAAAGAAGACTTCCTATTTTCATATTAAACTCAGAAAAGTATTTCCCTTGTTTAAGTCCTTCTTCTAGCTCTTCTTCCTGAGATTTTTTCTGATTCTTTTTACCTTTTTCTCCTTTAACACATTTTTCTCCTTTCCTTCCGTATCCATTGCGGCATTCACATGTGTAGGAACCAATGCTGTTCTTGCAAACTTCATTTTCTAATGTACAAGGTTTTTTCTCTGCAGCACATTCATCTATATCTAAAGTTTAAAGACAAAAATGTTATTAAGGGATACATGATTATTTGCTGATATTTTTGAAGGAGTAAAATTAAATGTTTAAAAAAATAAATATTAAGAAACTGCACCATGTCCACAATAGTTTSTAACAGTTTTTAGCAATGACATTTTTTTTTTAATTCAACGTTGCAATTACTTTATAGGGCAGCTTCTGGACTTAAAATGGCCAGTCAGCTACCCTATAAAGTGATTGCAATGTTGCATTAAAAACTGTTACAAACTATTGTGGACATGGTGCAGTGTAGTAGAATAATTCAATCATATTTTTTCTCAATTATTATATTTTTTCTCAATTATTATATTTTTTCTTAATTATTATATGTATGCGTGCATATGTATGTATGTACGTCGTGTGTACGGGTGTGCATAGATACATATATGCGTATATATGTGTGTATATATGCCTGTAGGTATATATGTATGCACATGTACATATATTTTTAGAACTTATTTAGTACTCATATTTTTGTAATTTATCATATTTATATATAGTTCGAGGGCCACTAGTTTAACAGTTTATAACTGTAAAGTGTTTTTACCCTCTGTAAATAAAGTTGTTATTAATATTATTATCATTTATTTTCTCTCCAGTCTCCGTTCATGATAATGGACCAAATACATTTTAGCTCCGTAATATACCTTGTTTCTGACTCACCATTACTGGTCAAAATGAYTGGCATACATTTGACCAGATAAGTTCCAGACATTTTCCGATGACAAACTGTTATTTTAGGCTCTGAGCTTAATTTTTTATAGGATAATATTAACAAAATACATACCTTTGCATTCATTGTCTATCCTTTTGAAACCAACATTACACTTTGTACAAGCACCAACTCCTTCCCCAATACATGTTTCACATGCTTCGTTACAGCCTATCAAAAGACAGATTTTATCAGCATCAGGATAAACTTTAAATAAGTGAATCTTTATCAACGCTTAGTATTCAATTGGAATGTTAGAAGTCTATTTCCATTAAGGAAGAAAAACAGGGGAACATGGACAAAAGCCCTCCTGGGAAGTACGACAAGTCACACGACCAAACCCATGACCACAGTGGAAAGAGACCTCAATGAATGCTGGGATAGCTTGGGTACTGCATTGAAACTCATCCAGAAGACTTTCTTATTAAGCATATAAGGTTTCTATTAATCATAGGATGTCTTGCGTAATGTACTTTAATTTCTTTGCACAGTACATGGCCCTATGGATTCTGGGATATCTTGGGTTTCTTATAGACAAGTGTACTTACTTTCGCATTCATAGGATCCTGGTGTATTCTTACAGTAGGTACCACTGCTACAAAGAGATGAGGATTTATCTTCGGCACATTCATCGATATCTATTGAATACAAAGAAATCAGATTTCCTTGAAATTTCTGATTAAAAATAAAATCAAAGTGAATACGGTACATACTGAGACAGTCTAGATTTCATAGGTGTTAAAGAGTCAAAGGAACTATTTCTGTACTGAGAACTACCAYCATTTTCTTCCCTTGATGTCATTTACTGTCTCATGCAGAATATTCACCAGCTTAATCAAAATTTTTGAATAGGATTGTTTCTACTAGCTGACAGCACATGGTAGTCCATGTTTGACCACTGTAACCATTTGGAGCAGATAAGGAAATTCAGAGACTTTTAACAGCTGATTGAAAGCTATTGCTATTGGCAGCAGTACAAGGCAAAGGAAGACAGTATTTCACAAAAGATTTCTCATTAGCATCCCTTGTTCATACTAACAACAAAAAAGTATCCTGTTAGGGAACTGTTTGCAAAGTAAGCTACRACAAAGGCTTTTTAGTCATAACCCACAAGCATTTTGATTACCTTTACAGCCTTCATCTTCAGTAATGTTGTAGCCACTCTTACAGACTTTGCAGCCCTTGGGGCCAGCACTTGTACAAGCACCATCACAAGACTCATGACAAGCTGCAATACACACAAACCAAGCATACTGGATTAGGAAAGTGAACAGCCATTTAACAAGAGGATAAGGGATATAGAGTCAGCCAGGAATAGCAGAGGTCACTTGTATCTCAGACTACAAATTATCCCACTATTTTTCTCAGACTTTAATGCATCCCTCTTTCTTTCTTGGTCACCATCCACTTTTGGACCAGATCTTGAAGAGTTCCCAAGGGATTAGGACTCAGAGCCTTAACCCCTTAGCCATCCTCCCCAAACCCCAACCCCTGGGACACTGAATTTGCTTCAAATCCTTTCAGATAAAAGTGTTTTATTGAGAAATACAACACTCATATTTTTCAATATACTAACTACATCTGGGGCCTCAGTGGCATATTTTCCATAATCTCACACGTGAAGATATTGATGACGTCACTACTGATGCTTTCCCACTCACTTTAACACACATTGCAACAAGTTTTTGTTTGTGAATTACATGTTGGCTTGAAGATATGAAATTCAACTTCTCATGTTGAAAAATATTTCACTCACTTGCTGAGCTCACTCATAAATATTTTCAGCATTTGAAGATAAACTTCATATCTTCGCGCCACTGTGTAATATTCTCTATATAATTATTACCATCACAACTGAAAGATCCTGGTGTATTGACACAGAGTTCTCCTTCATTGCATTTATCAGCATCCTGGCATTCATCGACATCTAACAAAATATAATGAAATAATCATTTAATTATTAATCTCTTTATCAATCCCCCTTCTTGTCAATTTGAGTTTTCAAAAAATCTATCTATCTACTGGTATCTATCTACACATTTATTCATACATCTGTTCGTTCCTCCAATTTTCTATTTATAATCATCATCCATTCATTTATCCACTTATACATCCATTAACCCACCCATTTATCCATTCACTTAGGGACTGGCGATAAAGTAAAGGGGGTGGCGGTGGGGGACAAGAACAGGGGGTGCGTCACATAATTTTGAACTCCTCGAAAGTGGTGGGCTGTCTATGAAAGTCTATGAAATTGAACAGCTAAAAAAAACACATTTAAATCAAATTTAACTCTCCCCCCCTCCCTTACTTTATGGCCAGTCCCTTACTCCTCCATCCATCTATTTACCCACTCATTTATCCATTCTCCCACCTATTTATCCATTCATTCATTTTTCATTTCCCTCCATTCTTTCATTCAACCACAAACTCATTACTTGCTAATCCACTTTTTCATCCACTCATTCATATGGTCAGTCAGAGAGCAAAAGAGAAACCCAAAAAGAAGTTAATATTTTGTCCAAGAATTCCTCCTTTCCTTTACCTTTACATCCCTCTTCTTCTGTCTTCTCCCATCCTGTTTTACATTCAGTACAGTCCTTCGCTGTAGCACCACTACATCCTTTAGAGCATGACTCATGACAACTACTGCATTTCATCTTGTCGTTCTCATCCTTTTCTTCAAAATAGTCATCTGCGCACTCGTCACATTCATCACCTTCGTACCCATCATGACAGCTACAACTTCCTTTTCCTCCCCTTGTGCCTGCACCATCACAATCTCCATGGCCGTGGCATGGATCGTCCTTCCCTGATGGGCATTCTTTACAATCTGGCCCAAATGTACCATTATTACAGCAGACTTCTATGTTGTTAATACAGAACCAGGTTTTTAAATCTTTTTCTTTGTTTTGGCTGAAAAATTGGGTTGAGAATATGGTCAAGGTTTGATCCAATAAACCTCTACATTGGGCATGATGTTTTCCCATTTCAGACCATGTGTCATTCTCTTGAGAATAAGATTCTTTGTTTGACTTGTATCCATGTTAATGTCTCATGTGCAACCATTAAACAAAGAAATGATATTCTAGGGAATGACACATGGTCTGAAATGGAAAACATCACGCCAAATTTAAGGGCTATTGAAAGTGAAATCTCATTCCAAACTTCCCTACCCCACCCTTGTCAAAAGTTTTATGACTATCCCTCACACCCTTTCCAACCATATCATGAATGCCATTAATATCTCTTCAAATTTAAGTTTATTGAAAATTTTATAGAACCTAGAACAGCTTATTGGCTGATTAAGGCACAGCTAACTTACAGATAGAATTGAAGAAACTTGTTAGGTCATTCAAAAGACTTGTAGACTGGTTAACCCAGAGAAAACCCTCAAATTAAGGGAAAGACCTGAAAAACTCTGTTCAACCTGTGATGCTGAGTCCAGGAATCAAACCCAAGACCTTAGAGATATATATACACTGTTATGTATCCTTGATCCTCTCTCCTATACACCAGAGAAAATCTCTATACTAAGAATAATTAATGTTAACTTACAGCTTGAACCACCATTTTTCTAATGCTTCTTCGTGTTCCTCTACTAATGAATGACACTAAAAAGACAATCCAGAACAAACAAAATATCAAATAAACACTAAAAAGACAATCCAGAACAAACAAAATATCAAATAAACATAACTTCGACCAACATCTAAATATAAAAAATATGAATATACTTATTCTTTATGTACTCATATGTACTTAAATTGGGTGGTTGTCAATTAGACAATAGGGACTTTAAGATTCACAAAATCCGCGACGGAGACGTCTACCGGAAGTGTAAATTACGGCACTTTGGGTTTCGAGTCCGTTTAAGATCTGTCCCTATAGACCCCTTGCACTGAGTCGCTCGAGGAATTGTTCTGGGGGACAATACAATGGATTTTTTTTTTGCACAAGAAAAGATGGCCTATTGTTTTGTCCTCTAGGAATTCAATGCATTCTATACTTGAATTGAAAGTTTTTTTTTCAGTAACAAAAAATATTGTGATTAATAAAAAAACTTACAAGAGATGCAGAGCTTTCACAGAGTCCTTCCAAAATTTCAACTAATCTTGTCTCACTGAAATACAATAAAAGTTAAAATTTTATCAATTTTTGAAAATATGTGTGCATTCCTACTTTTGGGAATAAAAGGGGAAAAACATAGACACTATGTTGGTTGGAATGAAATAAGAATGAAGACAAAGTTATCCAAGATAGTTTCTATCACATAATATTTTTGCTCCTCAAGATTTTATATGCATTACTGAAGAAATAGAAAATTTGCATGCATGCTGTGTGCAGTCTTAAAGCATGTGGGAGTTTGTGGAACATGAGAGAATTATTAGTAGAAGCATGACATGTAGTGGAGTGCTTCTCAGCACTCCTCAAGAGTTCTGCCAATCTCCAAGTGCCTTATAACTCCACACAGCACAGCAAGCAATTTTTTATTTTTATTTTTATAAAATACAGAATTTAGGTGAGTTTGTTAACCAAGAAAACACAACCTTAGTGACAAGTGTGCTATTCCACAGTATGCAATGCAAACAAAAGAATCRAAACTATTTTATCCCACACCAGTGAAAATACCTAGGTATTTATTCAAGAATTGCCTGATAGGAAGATGCCACTGCAATAGCTTTTCAGCATTCTGACTGGACATATTTCAATGGTATATGGGATAAATATCAGCATGTTTGGTGACTTTCGTGATACCAGTGACAAACATGTACCTTGTTGCATAACTTCCTAGTTTTCTTTCTTCCCAGGCTGTATTTCCTCCTCCAAAATTAGCTTTCACAGTTTTCTCCATTCCCTGGATATTCAGGTACAGTAAACATGTTAATGGACATTTTAAAAAAATAGTATTATTATATACCTGATGTTAACCACCGACGGTAATTCCAACACCTCATCTCCATGACAACCTACTAACCAACAACCGTACCTTAGCAATATTCCACCAACTAGTAAAACTATCCTGCTATCAACCTAATTTTTAATTTACCCACACCTACCAACAAACCACCTGTTAATTACCCTATACCTTCAACTTAACTGAATCATACAGTAAGAATCCCAAAATCCTACCATTACACTTAGGAAACCCTATCAACAGACCACTGTTACCCTATGTAAACCTGACACTATACCAGCATCCAACCAACACACAAGCAACAACACCAACAATTTGCAATCTACCAATTATTCTTCATTTGCACACGACGTTATAGCCACCATCTTGGATGATTTTGACAAAAAGACTTTTTAATAATAATAATGAATTCTTTTGTTACATCATCCAACATGGCTGCTGTGTCTTTTGTTATTTCAATCCCCTGGGAATGAATGAAAACCAGCAATATCCTTAGACAACCAACTAACTAATACATGTACCCTACCACCAACTGGCTCGCTACCATGCACTTATTGCCGCAACATAGTATTGCAGGGTTTATAATAACAGCCAGTGAGTCGCTGGCCATGATGACAAGTTTTAGCTTGGTCATACCTTGTTTTTGGCTAAACGTTACTGGTCAAAATGACCAGCAAGGCAAAGATTTGAACAGACAAGTTCCAATCCTAGGCAGACGTGTCTGATGCCCGGCCGTTATTTTAAGCCCTGCATTGACACCTAAAAGTGATCATTTTGAGGTCCTATTTTCTAGTACCACCTGTCTTCACGTGCATACCCTGTATAACTTTCTCTAACACTTATAGTTTTACTCACATTTACAACAACTTTTAAAGTTTCTTATACTGTAAGAAACTGGGGTTTTTTTCCTCCATTCAACCAATAATTATTAAAAAAATAATAGTTTAAATATCAAACGTAAATAATCCTTCAAAAGTTAAAAATCAAACAATTCACTGTAAATTGAAAAATTAGTGGCATAACTATACTATGGATGGCAAAGTTTATACCTTGTAGAAGGCCTCCACAATCTCTTTACAAGTTTTACATTCTTCTTTCTTGTCTCTCTTACTCGTAACACAGGAGAAATTTAAACTCAGAGCTAGTATTACTAGATATATCAATAAATTACTTTCTTTTGTCCACATTGTGGAAAAATACTTCTAATATAAGTCTCTATCAGACTTTTAGTGAAAACTAAACAATGAATGAATGGTTTTGCGTCTTCGCAAACACGATCAGAATTGAACGAAAATGGGTCAGAACATTGCAGAAGTTTAGTTTGATTTTTTTTAGCCTAGAAATTGTTTAAGAAGGATTGCTTTCGTAAGGAATCCTGAAAAATTTGGAGTAAAAAGCAACAATAACAATTACATATGACCCGGTGAGTTTTTCTAGTTTTACCCGGCGTGCAAATCAGACGGTATAACTACAGGAAATGAAAAGGAGAATATATATTTTCATCTGATAGCAATATGAAGCTGGCTTTTATTTTGCAAATATTATATTGATTCAATAATTTTTGAAAATAAAGTCCCTTTGATTTTTATAATCTTGAGTTAAGATCCTCACGTGAATTTTATCGATTAGAAATTATTTAAGATTTTTTGTTAGGAATTTTTAGATCCAATTTAAAGTAGTCTCAGATATGAATTCTCTCAACATTACACGATAGTATGAGAATTTCCTGAGCGTTTTGGGCATTCAACCAATCGAATCTTTCCACGTGCATCACGTGATCAATATAGACCAATCAGCGCGGTACACGCTCCAAGCTCGTGGAGAAACGTGGTTGGTTTGCAGGTTTTACTTCCTCTTTTCTCCTCAACAAACTCCATTTACGAATTAGTTCTAGTGTAGTCTTGCTTCAAACCGGTAAAATTGGCACAGCGATGGGCAGAAAAACATATCTTTTAGGGCTTTTGGCTCTCTTATTTATTAGTAGTAAGTATTCATTTTCTTTCTTATATCCAAATTGCGATCGCGGTAGTATTTTTTTCATCTTTCGCATCGTAGCTGCTTGCAAGAATTTTCTTCTTTGTAAGCCTTTTTATAAACATATTTTCAAGCTTGAAAATATTTCGACTAACCTTTTTTACATTTGGTTACAATAATCAAGCACTTCAATGGATCGAAATTTTACCTCGTAATTTTGATCTCCTAGCATAGCATATCTATACTATATTTCTAAAGAATGGAAAAGTTTTGCAATCGAATAAGCTATTTGTTGAAGCAAGTTATTTTGCCTCAATGGACATTTTACATCTATTTATCTATTTTTCTTTATCAAGACAATCCTATTGAATATGTGCATTAACCTTTTTGTAAGCCATGTCGATTGGAAGATCATATGTTCTTTTTTGTTCTTATTTAACTTAAAGCTTATTGAATACGACCGAAAAGTTTTCTCAAGTTGATTGGTTATGATCTTAATTGATTGTGACCCACGCGAAATTCACTAACACTTTCTTGATCGTATACGTAGATGTTTTTTGCTTTTTGAATTAGAGATTTATCGCAAAGCGACTGAAAACAAAGAGATTTAAAATCCAGATAGATCGTGAGGTCTTTTAGTTATGGACAATGAAGCTGGTAGTACTTGTAGACTTCAGCTGTTTTTACCATGCAAGTGTTTATACTTATCTCAAGATCCCGGGGGAAAACACTTATAAAAAGAATTACAAAATGCATATACCTAATGTGATTAATAACAAGGTCGTCAACTAGTTTCAATTTGGAATGTTTTGAACCTTTATGAAGTTTTTCTTCCATAAGCTGGTAGCAGAGTTGAGTTATAAATAGAATTCCCAAATGGCAAGCTCTGATTGGCTGATAGAGTCACACAATTAAATAAGCACCATTACTTTTCTAACACCTTGTGATGTGTAACAAATGTGTAGTACCATTATTTTATTTTTTTTTAATTTTAATTTTTTTAAATTAAATTTTATATTTAGTAATAGATACCATGATAACTTGATTTCAATTACTTACAATATTACTTATGATTACCAGCATCCTTGAGTCTAAAGGATATTTGAACAAGTGTTCTCTTTGTTACAGTATTAATATGATTAACAATTCGCACAGAACAATCAAACTTGATTTCTATCAAAAAGAGATTACCTCAAAATAGCGAAAAAAGTTTGTTTTTTCTTGCAACCAATTTTCACTTCAATTTATTTAAATAACTGATACTTCTTTTTACAGTCAAGGACATCAAGAACTCTTTATGAATATAAAACACATGACCATTAGAGTTGTGTTAATAATACATTATTTTCAACTATTAACATATTTATTCTTTTCATCAGGCTTATGTGCTGCTGAGGAAGATAAACAGAAATCTGAAGAACCTCAGGATGCCCCAAAAGTAGATGAAGATATAGGAAAGAGCAGAGATGCATCCAAAACAGATGATGAAACAGTACAAAAGGAAGAAGAGGCAATCAAATTAGATGGTTTAAATGTTGCTCAAATGAAAGAAATTAGAGAAAAAGCTGAAAAACATGAGTTTCAGGCTGAAGTTAGTCGTATGATGAAACTTATTATTAACTCTCTCTACCGAAACAAAGAGGTAAGACCATAAAGCTAACTTCCTTTACAGTTGTAAAGACCAAATATTGTATATTCAACCTACAGACTTGATTTCTTGGTACATGCATGTATGTACACAAAGTGGCCTTTCTCTAGGGCATTCTCAGGATGCAGTTACAGTTGAAATAAATAATAGTACTTACATGTATAAGTATTTGTTAAATAAAAATTTGGTTTTCTTTCCTTAGATTTTCTTAAGAGAGCTTATTTCCAACTCATCTGATGCTTTAGACAAGATTCGCCTTCTCTCCCTCACTGACAAATCAGCCCTTTCTGCGACAGAAGAACTGTCAATCAAAATCAAAGCTGACAAGGAAAACAACATCCTTCACGTCACAGATACTGGTATTGGGATGACCAAAGAGGAGCTTGTCAAGAACTTGGGAACCATTGCCAAATCTGGAACCAGTGAATTCTTCAACAAGATGCAAGTAAGTACAAAATGTCAAATAAGTAAATAAGCAGAAAGTGTTAAAATGAGGAGCAGATGTACCTGGGGGGGGACTCTCTTGAAAAGTGGATAGGGGGGCTCAACAGACCTTGCATACCTTTTAGGGTCTCTGGCTGACTCCCGGCTGACTCCATACCTTTTATGTAATTAGGGTCAGATTTTGTTCGTTTTGAAAAATATCAAATGTCATACAAGAATACAATGGTTGGAAACGTTGTCATTTTAAATATGGTCGTACCTTTTAGGGTCTGAAATCAGCATCTCAGTTAATTTATGCGTACCTTTTAGGGTCATTTTCTACTGGGCAGATGTAGTCCAGTTAGTTAGTGTGTGTCGACTTCAGAACTAGTGGTCCATGGTTTGATCTTTAGGATCAAGCTTTAGCTTTAAATGCCAGTTATAAGGGCTGAACACTGACATTTTAAGGTGGTCAAGGGTACACCTCAGAAAGCTTTAACTTGAGCCCCTAGCTCTTGTGTAGAATTGGGCAACCACTCCCTTCCCACTCCTTATTACAATGAAATAAATTCTTTTTTTTTTTCTAACAGGATGCTGCCACCAACTCTGAACAAGCTGCCACTGATTTGATTGGTCAATTTGGTGTTGGTTTCTACTCTTCGTTCTTAGTTGCCGACCGTGTTATTGTTACCAGTAAGCATAATGATGACAAGCAGTACATCTGGGAGTCTGATGCTGCATCATTCGCTATCACTGAAGACCCACGTGGACCAACTCTCAAGCGAGGCACAACTATCAGGTATTGATACATATCAAACAAACATATCTTTCTTATCCAGCTCTTTTACTAAGGTTAGCATGAACAAGAAAAAATAATTGCTGGACATCAGGCAATGTCTGAACAGAACTGGGAATTGTCTGGTCAAATCTTTGCCTTGTCAGTCATTTTGAACCGTGACGTTAAGAAAGAAATGTGTGAATGAAGATAAGGCAAAAAGAGAAGATATCTAAAACTACTGTCATGCATTTTCTGTCCTGGTGTGGGTTGCAGAAATATAGGAAGTGCTACTTAAGTTCCATTAATTTGCTTTGAAATTAATAATTATTTAATGAATTGTACAGCCTTCACCTCAAGGAGGAAGCAAGAGATTACCTAGAACCTGACACCATCCGTCAGTTGGTCAAGAAGTACAGCCAGTTCATCAACTTCCCCATCTACCTGTGGACCAGCAAAGTAGAATCTGTTGAGGAACCGATTGAGGAGGAACCTGTAGAAAAGAAAGATGATGAGAAGAAGGACAAAGCTGCTGATGAAAAGAAAGAGGAAGAGAAGAAAGAGGAAGAAGAAAAGAAAGAGGAAGAAGATAAGGAAAAGAAGGATGATGATGTTGAGGTTGAGGAAGAGAGTGATGACAAGGAGAAAAAGCCAAAGACAAAAACAGTAAGTCAACATATCAAGCTGTATATATATATTGATGCAAGGTGAGGCTTGCCTTTCCTTCCTCAAACCAATATTTAGTTGACTCTTTGGTGAGTGAAACCAAGACATAAATAAACATAGTGCACTTTTTTAGTCTGCTACTAACATGTTCTGCATGCCAAATTTAATTTTAAGCCTGTATATGTTGAAGTAGGTATGTTATGTATAATTCTGAACAAAACTTTCAATAAATTGATAGGTTGAGAAGACTATCTGGGACTGGGAACAGCTGAACACCAACAAACCTATCTGGACCAGGAAGCCAAAGGATGTCACTGCTGAAGAGTACAAAGAGTTCTACAAGTCATTCACAAAGGTGAGCAAAAAATATTTAGCATCAAGCTCAGGTTCTGTCATAAAATAAAGGTAACTTCAGAAACTGTCCATATCTTGATCAAGAAAGAAAGATTGGATTTTTGGGTTGAGTGTTGAGATGGACTGAAGAAGGTATATCATTCTAGTTTTAGTATATATTTTTCTTAAACAGAAAATGTCTATAACTTTGTTTGGTCTGTGACAATATTGATATCTTATGGAACTCAAAATTTACAAATTTTACATCAAATGTTGATATCTGTAATATTCATTCTTCAATGTTAATCTTCAGAAAATTAAAACTGATCCTTCTAAAGATAAGGAAAAATCTGTAAGTCTTGTCCTGTAAGTTGCAGCACATATGTGCAGGAGTGCACAATGTTAACCAGTTTGTTGCAGTTTAGACCTGCTAGTTACTTTACTGGAATCTTTTTTTAGAAATTTCCTGTCACAAAAATTATGGCTGTAGTGGCTGTAGCAGCACCCAAATTATTGGAAAACTTTTTAACTTACTTCGTATACAATATTGTATTTAAGGAATCAGAAGATCCTCTCGGTTACACCCACTTTGTAGCAGAAGGGGAAGTCACATTCCGTTCCATCCTCTACATCTCTAAGACCAGTCCAAGCAACATGTTCTCAGAATATGGAAAGAAAATGGATGCCATTAAATTGTACGTCCGTCGCGTCTTCATCACAGACAACTTTGAAGAAATGATGCCCAAATACTTGAATTTCATCAGGGGTATTGTTGACTCTGATGATCTGCCATTGAACGTATCTCGTGAGCAACTGCAACAGCACAAACTCTTGAAGGTTATCAAGAAGAAGCTTGTCCGCAAGGCTCTTGACATGATCAAGAAGATTTCCAAGGAGGATTACATTGATAAGTTCTGGAAGGAATACAGTACCAACATCAAGTTGGGTGTGATTGAAGATCATTCCAACCGCACACGTCTTGCCAAGCTCCTGAGATTCCAGTCCTCCAATTCTGAAAAAGACCTGACTAGTCTTGCCGAGTATGTAGAAAGGATGAAGGAGAAGCAAGAAGCTATCTACTTCATGGCAGGTCACTCACGCAAAGAGGTTAGTCACATTTATTCCAAGTATGTTTTATTCTTCGCCAAAAAAAGAAGTTTTGAAAAGTGTTAACATTTATTTTGTACCACAATAATAGGGATGCTAATGTTCATGTATACAGGGTTCGTGCTACTCCTTAAAACCCCTTGAAAACTCCTTGAATTTAATTCACGTTTTCAAGGGCACTTGAAAAGCTCTTGAATTTTATGATTTTAGTGAAACTCCTTGAATTTTTGCTTTGATCATTACTTGCATAGTTCTGAAATAGATCTAGTCAGAAAGACCGGAGAATCTGAAAGCCGGCCATGTGCAACTGCCGTGTAAAACCTTGGCATATTTAGCTGAACATGCTCCTGGAAATTTCATTTTTGGGTTCTTGTATACTCCTTGAAAAGTCCTTGAATTTTAAGTGGTAACCTTAGCACGAACCCTGTGTATAGAACACCCTCCACACTCACGACCACTGAACAGAATATTATAAGCACAAAACCCACAAATTTGTATGAAATTCATTGTCTTTTCATGGAAGAGATATTGATGGTGCCATTCTTTATTTTCACAGGTTGAGAAGTCTCCCTTCGTTGAAGCTCTACTTAAAAAGGGTTATGAAGTGCTCTACCTCACCGAGCCTGTCGATGAATACTGCATGCAGAGTCTGCCAGAGTTTGAAGGCAAGAAATTCCAAAACGTAGCGAAAGAAGGATTGAAGGTTGGCGAGGATTCTGACAAAAAGAAGAAGAAGAAGGAAGAGCTTGAGAAGACTTATGAGCCACTCTTGAAATGGCTGAAGGAGGATGCCCTCAAGGACCTTATTGAGAAGGCTACTATTTCTGAGAGATTGGAAGATTCTCCATGTGCTTTGGTTGCTAGTTCCTATGGATGGTCTGGTAACATGGAACGAATTATGAGAGCTCAAGCTTATGCCAAGACAGAGGATCCAAGTAGTCAGTAAGTGGAAGAACATTTTAAACAAGAACTGGCTGGGGTTAAAATGATACTCATGTAACAATATTATCTCTAATGTTAGAGGGGAATTTAGATGAAAATGCCCCAATTTTTGGAAGTCCAAATAATTGAAGTATTTTGGGATGTGACTCAATTATGACTATGTAAACATGACTAGTGAAAATTTTAGCCTGGGAGCCACTCGCAGATGAGAAATTTTGGCTCAAAAGCGAAAAGAACAATAGGGTTGAGTAAATAACGTCATTTACTCACAATTTAGATGCTGAATAAAATTGATAATTTTTATTTATGGCTACTATTGGGGTCATATAGATAAGTTAAACCAAGTTTCAAGTCATTTCCAATTTTCATCCAAGTGCCCCTTTAAAGTAATAGCCATTCCAAGGTTAATGAAAACCTTGGCATCGCAGCGCATTTGGGACTTTTTGGGGACTTAGGGACCAACGTGGCATCTATTTCGTACCCTAAAACAGTCCCACAATATATACACTGGAGTATTTCCCTTTTACCTATCCCACCCCTCCCTCCTAGACAAAATAAAAATGTACAAGTAAAAAGTGGGGGGAGCTTCCCGGATTCTATTTTCTTTATCAAGTACCTAAATCATTTTACTTGTTATTTTGTAGATATTATGCCTCCCAGAAAAAGACCTTAGAAGTTAACCCCAGGCATCCTCTCGTCAAAGAACTCCTCAAGAGAGTTGAAGCAGACAAGACAGACAAGACGGCCATGGATCTGTCCAGGGTTCTGTTCGAGACTGCTACCCTTAGATCAGGATACTTGGTCAAGGTTAGTATTTGGTGGTTAACACAAGTTGCACAGTATTTATCTTGCTTTTATCAGACGGTCTGGTTATCCCTGCCATTTTCTTAGGAATCTAACTTTCTTTACATTCAACTTGGTTGCTTTTGTTTCTCAGTTCACTCACCTTCCTCTCTTTCCTTTTTTCCTCTCAGCATTCAATCTTTCGTTCTCAAATCACTGTTTGTTGATTGAGTTCGTTGACTGTTTGTTCAGTGTTTATTCTCTTTTGAGAGATTACACTACAAGCCAGAATACATACAGTATTGAAGGCCTTAGCTATAACTCCTATCCTTCTCTCTCTCCACCCACCAGGACTCTGCTGACTTTGCTGCACGTATCGAGCGCATGCTTCGTCTGAGCATGAACGTCGACCTTGATGCTAAAGTTGAAGCTGATGATGACGAAGAAGAAAAAGAAGAAAAGGAAGAAGAGGTTGATGCTGACAGCGAAGACAAAGACGCTAAAGAAGACAAGGAAGGACAAGCTGAAGACAAAGCTGCTGAAGATGTTGATACAAAAGAACCCAAAAGTGAAGATGAAGTAGAGGTAAATACTAATACTTTTACTTACAAAACTTCAAAAAATACCAATTTTCCGAAAAGCTGTAAATTGTAAAACTTACCATTGAGAGTCCACAACCCAGCATTTTACGTGTTTCCTTGCATCACTGTCGTTCATGTAAGTGTTATTTTTGTATAGAAACATTATATTTCGTGCTCGTGCAATTCGACATGGTGAAAGTGCGAAAAAAACCTTGCAAAACATCAAAATGGACGGCATTTTCCAACACTTTCAATATGTCTGCCAACGTACGACAACCAAGCAATTACTATGTCTAATTTTTTTTTTTATTTTGTTAATCTTCTAGGGAGAAAAGAAGGAAGCCCCAGCTGAAGGAAAAGACGAACTATAAGCACAAATTTCTAAACAAAGCAAGTTTTCCATTCAATTATACRTTCTATGTGTTGAACAGACAGACAGACGGACAGAGAGACAGACATTATTTTGCTCAAAGGAATTTCAACTGTCTGGCCAACCATAGCGGGCTGCAGTTAGTTTTGTTAGAAAATTTTTCAATTGAAAATAATGCAGACGTCAATGAAATTGTTTTATACGAAAAGCGAGTGCATAAAGAAAACTAGGTTAGAACTGCAATATGAAGATTAAACTTTATTTATAAAAAATATTGCTTCTTAGAAAAGTATATATTTCGCACTTTTGTGCTCGGCTCTTTTTGTAAAAGTTCTGGCTTGTCTCGTGTAACAATCAATGATGTAAGAACAAGACTGTGTCCACATTCATTGTCATTCGAATAGGAATGTGTTGAATCAATAAAATTTATAGTAAAATTTAGAATGTATTTCTTGGGTGGAATAAATTTTTTGCCACTCAATATGGCGGCCATGTTTTGGGAGGGGACTTCCATCCCATAAATTCCTCTTACAARTGTTTTGGCACCATTAAATCTTTTTCAACTTTCCAACCCAATAAAGTGCTAGCAATTTTGGCGCCAAAAGTTGGCAATTGTTGGAGTTACTTGTCAATACTAGTAATGTTTAGAGCTGTTTTCATGAGTGGGAAACGCACGGTGCTGACTTACAGCACTTACACAGTACGCCATGTCATAATTGAAATGGCTTTCCATAAGATGGTTGTCGTATGAGTGGGAAACCCACGGTACTGACTTACACGTATACGGTACGCCATGCCAGAACATGAAAATGGTTTTCCATAAGAATGGTTGTATGTGTCGAAGCGCACGGTACTGACTTACAGCACGGACACGGCATGACATGCCGTAACATTGAAATGGCCGCTTTCTTGACTTTCAGTAATTCATCTAATAACAACAACGCGCAGTTACGGTAGCCTGTTTCCGTCTCGTTTGCCACTCATGCGAAAACCGCACTATAACTGATCTATTTGCCTTGGATTGCAAGCCTTGAAGTACTTCTTGCTACAAGCTGCTGTTTGTAATCTCTCAGTAGAATCAAAGGCTGTTCTTTGATCGCTAGACTCGTGCCGAACTGAAAGGCCACATCAGTAGTTTCTAGGTTCATTAGTGCTCTTCTTATTGTCTTTGTAGCGTTGTTGTATACGCCTAACTTTGCTGTTCGGATGTCTAAAGCACGTTGGAACAGTTGACGAGCTTCTTTGGTTGTGTCTTTGGTGTTTTTGGTGTGGAGCAGTTTGCCTGTGAAAAAAACGTTAGAGAATATGAATTAGTTTCGTTTGTTTTTGAAACTTTTCATTGGCAGCAGCTGAAATAATTTTAGTCTTCATGGCCCAGTATTAAGCGAAGTACATCACTGAGTAGTACACACTATGTTTATGATTGTTTTCTTTTGTTTTAAATTGACTGTGTTAGAGTGAAATAGATATTTGACTAGCACACATTAGTAGACCCCAGTTCCATTGTTTTCTTTTGTGTCTATTTGACTATTACACGTTGACTAGTATTTTTTTATTTCACGGGTTAAATGCCTTCACTCTAACTCGGCCTCGTTTTCTTTGTTGTTCATTCAAAAATGTTGGATGGACGTGGTTTCCGTTAGTCACTTTATTATACAACTTTCACGGGCTAAATAAAATCACTTTTACAAAAACTTCCTTGTTTAACGAGAATTCAATGCATGATCGAATTGAAATTTAGTAGCTGATTTTTGTGGAGGAAGGAAATCTGGAGAACCCGGAGAAAAACCCATCGAAGCACAGGAAAGAACCAACTAGAAATTCTACCAATATAATAATATCATCACTCCGAGTTGAATATCTTACTCACCAAGTTTAAAGAGTGTACTAGCAACAAGAAGATGCGAAGAACCAAGAGTTTCTTCACGCATGCGTAATGCTTCTCGGTAAAGCTTTTCCGGTTCGGTCAAATCTTGCTGTAAACTTATATCATTCCAACACAGGGTTCCCATCATGTCAATAACTTCTGCCACCGTAGGATGGGTGGTTCCAAACCACTGTTTCCGCATGTCTAGTGCAGTCTGTAAAGCCTTCCTAGCGTCCGCCCACTGATGCTGTTTCATAGCTAATAGTCCTATGTTGAAGTATACATTGGACATACCTACAAAAGAATATAATTATGTATATTAGTGCGTCATCTCTAAGTCTCTGACGTCATTTCGATTTTAATCTCCGAGCTTGCGTTACTTCTTTGCGCAATTGCGCGAGACTGTACAAAGTCATTATACATCATATATAATCATACATAGTACCCTAAAATGTCTTCCCTTTTTTCTCATGAAATTCATCCACTCAAAATCAAAATTTAAAGTTGCAAAAAATCACGTTATTTTCGCGATAACCATGCGAATTTTCCGTATTTTCCGATGATCCTACTCATACGAAATTTCCTATACGAATACACTACCCCAAAAGATGATCGTTTATCTTGTGCGTAACAATAATTAATAGTTGTAACTGCGCGCGTACACTGGATTCAATTTACCGTTAAAATCCTGTGCCAGCTCCAAGTGTTTTAAAGCCTTGTTGAGTAGAGGACCTACTGTTAAATGAACACGCGTCTCCCTCTCACTGATGCGTCCTGACGAACTCTTGGACTGGCTTCCTCTTGATTGTTTCCTGGACCTTGGCCGGTCATCTACTGGACCAATAGGAACACTGCTCCCCATTTTTACGAAAGCTAATTGGTTTAGAAGCCGACCAATTGTGGCTTCTCGCTTTTTCTAGGATAAAGAGAGTCGATTAATTGAGTCAAGTATGTAAACTTGAAACCGACTGAATATTTTTCAAATCCTAGACATTTTTAGAATTTCTTAAATCTCAAAAGCGAAGCCAATATAAGACCTTTTTTGAGTTCCAGATTACCGCTGTGTTCCTTGATTACAGACTCATTTACTCAGGCTTAGCCTCGTATCAGTGTCTAAATATTCACAAATACCGATGGTAAAGAATGCACAGCTTATACAATACAAACACCCTGAAACTTGACGGACCTTGACTGACACGTGAATATTCTACATAAAATCGAGGCTAAGCCTGATTAACATTAACATATTGTAAGTATAAACCATGATATCTCCAAGATGCATCACTCAAATTATATAAACATATTTTACCATTCAACTATTTAATTCATTTAGAATCAATGCTGAAAATTTTGAGTTAGATGCCATATATAGCTATAGGCACTTTAAGGTTTCGCGGACGTTTTCCGGCAATCCTCTTCCCGCTTTGGAATTCATTTCTTTTCGTTTTCTTCCCTCGTATATTTTTACACAAAGCAATCTTTTAAGGTTTTACGACTTAATTAATTTTCTACATCATTAGGTATACAGAGAACTCAATGTTGGGATATACTCACCTTATCAGTTACATTAGTCATCTCGTCCATCGTTTTCATGGCATTAGTATACCAAACCTCCGCATTACTCATATCAAACATAACGACATACAAATCACCTAGAGTACGTTGAATCTGAACCATCAACTCCAGATCATGGACAGACGCCACAGGGTAACAAATCTTATAGGCTGTCAACAAATAGTTTTCCGCCGAGGAGTAGTTTTCGTAGTGTTTGAGGAAGCTTCCAATGTGGTAGAAGATTGTGGTAACTTCGATTGGAGATAACACGTCTTCTTCGGTCTTTGCGGAGATTCTTTCGAGCGCGGAATCCTCGTTAATACTTGAGAAGACATGTGCAGAATCGACCCTCTTTCTTTCGGGCTCTTCGTTGGAAAGTCGTCCTTGAACTTGCGACGCCATTTCTTGCAGAATCTCGTGCAGTTTGTGCCCTCCATTTTGTAACGCCCTCCAGTAACAGTGCAAGTCAAGCTTTAGTCTTGTTTCGTTCTGGTCATGCGCAAGAGAGAGGAATATTGCTGGATCGGAGAGGACTTTGGCGAGGTCATCTAGATTCCCACAGACCATCAGTTGCCATGGTAATTCATCGACCTTGCGCAGACTCGTAGGCTCTTTTTTGAAGAAATTGGACAACACTATATGACACTGTTGCTTATGTCGTTCCCAGTTCTCGCTGAATGGAGAAACGACGCGCTCTTGCGAAGGAGAGGTGAGGTTACCAAGGAGAGCTAAGTCGACGGCATTGCGCACCACGTCATGTGAAAAGGCGAGTAAACCAGAGGGCAACTCGAGCAGTGCATTCTGGGCTACAATACGCAGCATGCTCCAATACGCAGTACTGATAGAAAAGTTATTTGCATAACCCATTCCCTTCAGCGCTCCAAGCATTTCATTATCTTTCATTCCATTTCGCGAAACGGACAACAATCTCAAGGCGTCAGCCACCCAACCACTGTTCATGCGGTCACGTGATGCCTGCGTTTTGATTGCCGGTACAGGGCTTCGGCTAGCCACTGGTCGCAACCATCCATAATCATGCGTCCAACGCCTGATGATCAGCCTCCACAGATCACAGATGGTCGGTGCATGAATGTACGTTTCAAGCTGTCGCTCTGCATTCTTGTGCGCACCTAGTACGCGCAGCTCGTTTGCGATTGACACGTAATAAAGCGGTAAATTACTTAGCTTGGAGCTCGAAATTTTAGCAAAATGCTGATCATCCATGAACTTAGTATAATTTGCCCCAACATACTCGGTGAGGAGTTTTCTCTGTGCTTTGGAATCCAGAAGATTAGCAACTTCAATGAACGTCGTGTCTCTTCGTTTTTTCATTGCGCGATATGTGATGTCAGACTTCATGGTCGTGATAATCATTCGGCAAAACTTCGGCAACTTGGCGGGGAGCCAATCAAGTTCTTTCACTTCAAAAGCCGGTTTGTCATGTGACTTGCCAAAAGCATTCGCGCCATCAACTACGATGACACTCGGTCCAAGATCGATGGCAGCCTTGAAGGCTTCAGTTACGCGCCCGAAATCTGTAACATTTTTATCGTCTGTTGAATCATCCACAACTGAGTTTAAGTACTGAAGACGCAGTTCGTGTGTACAGCGGTTCATAAGGTTGGTGACCTCAGAGGATGCAGCGTCACATCCCACGTGATGAGGGATAATGACAACTTCCGGGTTTGATGAGCCGAATTGTTTTAACCAATTACAAACCAGTGCGCTTTTACCACAGCCTCGTTCACCTGCAAGAAAGACGTATTCAAATCAATGCTTCGAACATTTGAATCGAAAATTGAGTAATAAGAAAGAGCCTCACATCTTTAACTAGTGTAACCAACTCCGGCCATCTTTCTTTGTTGAAAATGTCAAGGAAATTGCAAAGCATTGCAATATTTATTGATAGCACAATTGCACCATATAATGTAGCAATTTGTCTGTACAACGTACCCGTTGCGTAAGACGTCCTCCCTATACCACAACCCCACAAAGGAACGAAAACTAAGACTCATGGAATCAGTCTACGTCTTCCCATATCAGGACTCAAAGTTTTAAACATGCCGTGCCAGAGCGTCGTGAGTCGAATGATTGTGGCTCCGTAACCGTGTCAACTATTCTACACGTTCAAATCCATTATAAAAAAAACAGGCAGCTTTAATTTTCACACTTCCATGAAGCGCCAGTAGGTCTTCCGTTCCATTATCAAATTTTTAATTATTTTTACACGAAAATGATGATGCCAGAATATCTTTACTATTCATGCAAAAATTAACTTCGCTCGCCTTATGAAAAATATAAAACATATGTCCTTTCTTCCTCCCCCAAGTGGTTTAGACTTACCCACAAGAACTAAGATGGGTGGTAGTGAGTCTCTGTCTTCACCAGGGACACTTGTCATGAACGTACTTAACAGAACATGCGTCAGTGCCATGCTAGTCTTTCTCTTGATTCCCTGATCCACTTCTGCATGTACATTCAAAACATCCATCATTTCTCTTATGGCAGGAGACCTGATAAAGATCTCCTGGTGAGAATTTTCAAATGCCCCATGAAGTGACCACTGATGGAACAATTCTGAATGAGTGTTCCTGAAGATTGATGGTGGGATAGGTGGGTACAAGGTGTCGATCACAGCTGTCCAATCTTGTAAAACTAGCTCCCCAAGTTCTTTCAATGTGTTGAAGGTTTTCACTGGTAAATCTGAGAAACACAACACACTTGTATGTTAATATTTCATCAGATAAAAGTATTCCTGAACCCAAACACACAGAGGTACAGATGCAAAAGAAAATTAGGATTCCTTTCTTAGGGGAGGGGTAGGTCTGAAATTGGGAGGAGGAGAGCTGTGCTTTTGTGGGTACCTAGGAGCTATGATGTCAGTCTCAGCACTCCTCCGACATGCATTCAGTCCCGGGGGGGTACTCCCCTATATTTGCTATACGGGTATGTGCCGCCCTATAGTCTATGGTTTTTCGGCTTTTGGGTCTGGGGTAGGGTATCATTTTTTGACATTTTGTCTGGGATAGGGTATCATTTTTGTCTGGGATAGGGTTAATGATGTGGTCGTTTTTGTCTGGTGAATAGGCTACGCTTTCTGACGGCATAAAAACAATAAAAACGTTATTGAATAACCGGGTTTAGTCTGGGATAGGGCGTATAATTCTTAGCTTTAGTCTGGGGTAGGGTATGTAAAATCGAAATTTTAGGTCTGTGATAAGGTCAGGGTTTTGAGGTCCTGGCAGCACACCCCTACCCAAGTGGGGGTGGTAGTACCCCCCTGGGATTCAGTCTTGATCTTCTTCAGTCATACATACAAGTCTTCTACATATTCTAATTTAACAACCCCCACCCCTTCCTCCCTCCACTTACTTGTTTAGTGTCAAAATGTCAGAGGTGTAGATTTATTTTGGGACTTACAAGAATAAGGTAATTCTAAAAACGAATTTCAATTGGGTTACCTGTGTCAATTATTTGCTGTTTCAATTCTTTTAGTTTCTTTGCAGCATATTCACTCTCACATTGATGATCAGCAAGTAATCTTTCTCTTTCACCATCATCTACTTCTGCCAGCTTTTCCTCCAAATGTTCAGGGTTTCGAAAGTAAAAATAACCATAATCATATTTCTTACGGAATGATGCTTGAACAACCTCCAGCTCTGTCAGGCTACTGCATCTAATATAAGTAATTTTAGAATATAAAAATAAAAATAAATAAAAAATAAAGATAAATAAATGGGATTTAGCAGTGGCATTTCTACAGAGTAGCTCTTCATCCACTGTATTTCCAATTGGAATTTAGGAGTTGATTTTTGCGGAGGGAGGAAAGCTAGGGAACCCAGAAAACCCTCGAAGCACAGGAGAGAACCAACAAACAACTCTACTCACATACAACACCGAGCTCAGCAGGACTCAAACCCGGCTCACATTGGTGAGAGGCGAGTGCTCTCACCGCTACGCCACCCATGCTTCCCAAGTTATTTTATCAATAATTGTTAAGTATTGTAAGAAAACTTAAATTTTGGAAAAGTGTATATTTAATTAATAAGGAGGCCAGTAGGCTTTATGAATCAGCAAAAATAAAATTGCTTACATTTCCAACACTATATTCTCCTTCACAACCTTCAAGCAAAACGAATGGGACTTAAGCTGAAGACGGTTGTAAGGGAGACTTCTCCAACCCCATTCTTTGCATTTTCTAAAAGGTAATTCGCTTTCTTTTCTTACGAAAGTTATAAAATTTCCTCGTCACTATTTTTAATATCCTTCAATCTATCACCTTAAATCACATCCCTCCCTTTCCATTATATAACACCTTCTGTCTCCTTTCCCTTCTCTCCCCTCCCCCTCGTTCCCTTCCTCACAGTCACACACCCACCCATCCCACCACCAATTCCCCATCCCTTTTGGGCTACTACACAGACTAGAATAAGAAATCTGGGTGAAATTTTCTTGTTCAGGCTTAATAATTTGGAAGAAATTTTGAGAAGTAATAATATATATCCAAATCAGCTGATGATTAAATTATAATCAATAGATTAAATTAGGACAGACATTTATTTCAGAAAACATAATAATTAAGGAGATAATTAAGAGAAGATACCAGTTGGCTTCGTTAAATAAAGTTGTGCGTGATTTACCTATATTCTTCTTCGTGTACCCATTCGTATCCACACAATGCTGCAGTGTCGAAATTTTTATCCAACCATTGTTCAGTTGCTTCATTTTTGACTTCACTCTCACCTGGTCTGTGCACGCCATAACGATCTCCCAACAGACAAATAAAATACGGGGCACAACGCTCTACATTGTCGAGACAGACTCGTAAAATCTGTTCGCTTGTTCCATGTCCTTGTTTCGAATTCCATCTTAAGTCAACAGGTTGGAAGCTCAATCCGCGTTCCCTACACAAGGAGTTCAACTTAGGAAAGATTTCCTCTTTTAAGAAGTCTCGCTCAGCGTGAAAATCTCTAAAAGTCCCACAGACGAAAGGATTGATGATCTTCCTGCCCGCATTTAAACTACGAGATTGACTAATGCTAAAGTTCTTTGTGTCTTCCATGTAAAAAGCTTGCGTTGCTTTAGAGCTTCAAATTCAGTTCGATTCCAAATCTCGTTTTCAGCGCCAATTCGGGCCAATTCGGACGACTAATTTCCTCATCATCATTATAATTGATTAGAATTAGGTTATTTCGTTTAGAAATTGCCCCAGAAAGCGTCAGAGAGAATTCAGTCATCAAGAGAGCAGTCAGCCACGCTTACCGTGCTAATTAACTGTGGCTTCTATTCGTTTGGTAACCAAAACAACCAAATCTACCAGGCGTTACTCGATATCCACAGCAACTAAAAAAAATTTCTTGCATTTACGCACTTTTGTTTTGAAATCGAGCTTGAAGAAAAATACTATAAACTAGAGGACTAAAGATTATGTGCTTTTTATCTTGTCTAAGTTTTATATCCTGCATGGTTATAATATTTGGTCAAATGCATTGGTATACCATGATTTACCTGTGGTAAATGGTGAAACCACAGCTAACCCATAAACATATCGAGCATCAATGCTCACAAGAAATTTATCATTTTCTTTGTCAGGCTTGGGTGTAAGTTAAATGATAAGATGCCGTGCGTTTATGTTAAAGGATACAATGACAAAAAATAAGGCACAGGTTTTTCAGTGATATATATTTATATATATAAAAGATTGTCGAAATCCAATCAACCAATCAAAGCGCGGAAGTACAACCCAACTAAAACTGCAGAGCGCATGGCTCAGTTAAAATCCCTATGCTATATTTCAGAGCACGGCAGCGCGGTAAACCCATGCATTGTTGCTTCTTTTTTTCTTACTTCCCTTTTTTTTCCTTTTTTCCTTTTATTTTTTCTTCTATCATTTAATTTTGTCTTTTTGTTGTGAAATCTGATCGTCCGGGTTTGTGTAGTCTTGAGAAAGACTGTTGTTGGTGGTGACCGACGTTTCGACAACCTGAGCGGAAGTCATCTTCACAATCCAGTGCGAAAACGAGAGACAGTCGATGGTATTTAYATATTATTCATTTATTTTATCTATTTATCTATTTTATTTTATTCATTTATTTTGTCTATTTTTCGTTGGAAACATAACAGGGAAGGGTACTGAGGGTAGCACTATCCAGAGATACATCATACAAACAGGCAAAAGACAAGCGACAAAATAGCTCATTTAATAGCTTTTTTACTCCTTATATATATTTACATATCTTTAGTTCAGCTTAGCGATTGAGGATTGCCATGACTTTGTTTTTGTTTTCAGATCCGGATAAATTTTTTATACTGTCAGAATTATGTACATCAGCTTCACATGCCTGCAATAGGCTATTGTCTTATTGTTTGACTTGGCAAAAATATGCGCCGAATAGATCTGATGTGCGTTGTTTTGAGGCAAACTGGTATTCAGGGATTTCAGCAGAATGAGAAACTTACAAGCAATCTGAACTGATGAAATTTTCAAATATGTTTCGTGAAAAATGGGGAGCAAGAACAAGAAGACTGAGGAATGAGCGAGAATTGTCTTTAACGAGGTATTCTGTCATTTTTCTTCAACAATAGTCAATCCGTTTTGCAATGGAGGCGCGGGATGAATAGTTATCATCTCCAGCGCTTTGACATATTGTTTTTTCAAATGGGCTGTTATCAGTAGGGGAGAGGGATGGGGATGTTTATGGTAACAGAGGAGATGCTTAATACTCGTCTGGAGTTTCATCATCAAGCGAATCTTCACCAACCTCCACATAGTCTCTCTCAAGAGCTGCCATGTCCTCGCGAGCCTCGGAGAACTCTCCTTCCTCCATCCCTTCCCCTACGTACCAGTGAACAAATGCCCTCTTCTTGTACATCAGGTCAAACTTGTGGTCCAGCCTTGCCCATGCTTCAGAAATAGCAGTAGTGTTTGTCAGCATACAGACTGCCCTTTGCACTTTAGCCAAATCCCCGCCAGGAACAACAGTTGGAGGCTGGTAGTTAATGCCCACTTTAAAACCAGTAGGGCACCAGTCCACAAACACTATTGATCGTTTATTCTTGATGACTGAAATAGCTGCGTTCACATCTTTGGGAACCACGTCTCCTCGATACAGCAAGCAACAGGCCATGTATTTACCGTGACGTGGATCGCATTTGACCATTTGATTGGATGGTTCGAAACAAGCATTGGTGATATCTCCTACAGTAAGCTGTTCGTGGTACGCTTTCTCTGGCGATATGATGGGTGCGTAGGTCATCAGAGGGAAGTGGATTCTGGGATATGGTACCAAATTCGTTTGGAACTCAGTCAGATCAACGTTGAGTGCGCCGTCAAATCGAAGAGATGACGTAATAGAAGACACGACTTGGCTGATAAGACGGTTTAAGTTCGAATAGGTGGGCCTTTCAATATCGAGATTGCGTCTGCATAAATCAAAGGTAGCTTCGTTATCAAACATGAAGGTACAGTCCGAGTGTTCAAGAGTAGTATGAGTGGTAAGTACTGCGTTGTAAGGCTCAACCACAGCGGTGCTCACGTTAGGAGCAGGATACACCGAGAACTCCAGCTTAGACTTCTTGCCATAGTCAACTGTCAGCCTCTCAGTCACTAACGACTCGAAACCAGATCCTGTACCGCCTCCAAGTGAGTTGAAGATAAGGAATCCTTGAAGGCCACAACACTGGTCTGCCTGTGGAGAGAAAAAAGAGCACCCTGGGCAGACCTTGGAGTTTAACCACCACGTCTGTAAAGACGAGGTTGCCCAAGGTCCGCCCAACGGAGCAGCACGAAACCAAACACACAAAAAACACAAAATATAATAACAAAGATGATGAAATGCAATAGAGGAAGAGGAATAAGAAAGGATGAGTAAAAGAGCAGTACCTTGAGTTAGAAAGATAAGTAAAGCTTGGCTAGTTATAAGCAGAAACTCTAAGAAGAATCTTAAAAGAAATAGCCAAGTCTTTAAGGTGCCTCTTGGAGATTTTGGATGTAAATAGCTAAGCGAAGTAATGAAGAAAAGCTGAAAAGAGGAAAGTGAAAGAGAATGAAAGAAAGATGAATAATAGATAAGACAAGAATGAGAAGGGAAGCTGTGATAACCAAAGAGAAGAGGAACGTAAGGTTACTTATTGTGAAAATGTATATAGAAAAAGAAAATAGAAAAAGGATAGCAATAGTGGTGACATTAGATGTTTAGAAGCAATAAGTGTTGTCCAACCAAGTGGAATTACGTGAGAGGATTAATATAGAAAGGGAAAATGCAAGGATCACAGGAAGAAACCAATGGGAAACGAAATACTCCATGCGGTGATGTAATGGTAGGGCTTTGAAAGAATCATGCAAAAATTGAAAATAATTGCAGCATTCAAATGGTCAGAAAAATTTGCTCGCATCTCATATAGATGAATGTAAATGAAAACAGCTACAAACCTCCTAAGAAAGGGAATTGTTGAGTTATAATGACGATGGAATACTCCCGTTCCCATTAGGGGTGGGGTTCGACCGGACCCCTGCACCTTATTAATTGAAAGTTAAAGAATTAATGAAAGGAATTAGCGAGAAAAGACTTTTTTTCAAAAGCATCTAAAAGGGTTGAAAAGATTTTGATTAAAATTGAAATGTCAAGATTTAGATGAAATCGAAAAAAGATCATTTTATAAGATGTTATATAATAGTTGGGTTAATTAAGATTTAATGGAAAGTTAAAGAGTAATTCCACTGGGTTGGCCCTTAGTTCCTTCCCCACCCGTCTCTCTAAGATTACCACAATGAAATGAAATGAAAAATGGGATTGAAAAGGAGAAGAGAGAGATTTATAAAAAGCGTAAATTAAAAATATAAAATATTAAACATAAATGTGGGATACATATAAATATATACATATCTAAACATATAAATGTGACGTGAAATTAAGCGTGAAACGTGAAATGAGAACGTGAAAAGAGTTAGTCGATCTGTGTCACATCTCCGTTAATTTAACGTCGTCAACTTTTGAAAATAAAAATGAAAACATAAACGAAACGAAAATGCTCACCATCTTTCTGACTCTGTCCAGTACGACATCGACGATCTGTTTGCCGACAGTATAGTGACCCCGTGCGAAATTATTAGCTGCATCCTCCTCGCCGTTAATAAGTTGTTCTGGGTGGAAAAGGTCGCGGTACATGCCAGTCCGTATCTCGTCTAAAATAAAGTTAAACGATTATTTCAAGGTGTCTCGGAACAGTTTTATTGGTAACTAACCAATAATAACTTTGAACTTTTAGGAGAGAATTCTTTTCGTATTCAAGCAGTGAGCGCCAAAAACTATTTTCTTGAAGAAAGGCTGTTGTACGAGGCTAAAGTCTTGTTATTCAGAAAGTTTAACTTGTTTGGAAGTGGAGATGACCGATGAAAGTGGAATCAAAGTGTTAACCAAAAGCAAAAATGTTATTCGAAAATAAGATTTAGGCCTTCATTTGCTTTATTTCCCATATATTTTCTATAAAAAAAAAAGCCTGACAAAGCTACATTCTAACACAAATGCAACAAAACATCTTTGTACAATTGAAAATACCGCTTCAAACGGGCATTTTATCATAGTACATCAGTTTCTAACTGTTTGAAAAAGGTTTTGAGTGTTAACCCAAAACGAAAATTGGGATCAAAATTCAAACGAAAGTCTTGTTTTTGGCGCTTTTTGCCATTATTGCTCATTATTTGAAAAAATTTCCTTCTAAAGTTTTTTTTTTTAATTCCCCGAGAACTCATTTAAAGTCTGTGAATAGTTTGGTTGTACTTCCAAGATGAATTTCCAGAATTTGGTAAAGATCCTGTAGTTTTGGAGAACAAGCTAAAAGTATGTTTTAAGAGATTTCCCCATAACATGCATACATTAACTGAACCCCATGACCAAAAAACTGTTTCGAGATCCGGCACAAGATATATCGTTCACCATGAAAGCCCTTACTAGACATGTTCGTATCCAGGGACGTGTTTTGTGGGAGGAGGGGCGATTTGTAGTGAACCCCTCGAAAATGTATAAACGGGAGAAAAACGTGGGAGGTGTATATTCATCAGATAAGGGATGGGTTGGAGGAAAGGAAAGATTTTCCCAACTTTTTGAGTACGTATCTTTAATTATAAAGTATAAGAAGTATAAGACACAAGCAATTTAGTTGTTCTTTCAGAGAATTACGGTTTATAATTTTTTTTTTTTTTTTCGTTTGATATTGTACAATATACGCATGGATTCAAAACTTTGAGACAAAACTATATCCTTCAAAGGTTAGGAAAAAAAGTCTTACCTATGACAGTTGGCTCCAAGTCGACAAGTACGGCTCTTGGAACATAGTTCCCAGAACCAGTCTCGTTGAAAAAGGTACTGAATGAATCATCCCCACCAGCTCGACTTGACTGTAGTAGACCGTCTGGCCCGATGTTGTGCTCTAGACAGTATAGCTCCCAACAAGCATTGCCTATCTGTACCCCTGCTTGACCCACATGGATGGAAATACATTCTCGCTTTAAAGAGAGAAAGGAAAAATATCTATTCTATTGAAATTTCTTTTGACTTAACATCAAACTCCGTTTTCAACAAAACTATATAAAAGCTAGTGTTTTTTTAAGAAATTAGGTTGATTTGAATATTATTATATAAACTTTACATGGTTTTATTTTTGTTCGCCAAAAAAGACGCCCAAATTTGAATTTTGAGTTTGAGAAAAGAATAAAACTTTCAAAGCTTTTTTCCTTGGAAACGACGAAAAATGTAAAAGCTTCCGTTATTTCTGCCAAGCACTTACCATTTTGGTGTCTTAGTATCAGTTATCAGTTCGTTCAATTAAGTAAACTCAAAATTTTTCTCGTAAGATGGCAAAAAGACGAAGAAAAACTGAGTTTTGATGTTTTTAGGTTGAACTGAATACTAACGACGCTAAAACCACCTCTAATTGCTTAATTAACCGATTTTAGAATCACTAACGAGATAATTAATCTTCTAACACAAATTATCCTCACCTTACCTTAAATTTTGTGGGCTATTTTGGTAAAAATTGCTAGAAAACTTGACCTTTATTGTTTTAAATTTTTTTTTTTTTTCAAAAATGGTTGAAATTTTTCAACTGAACTTACTCTATTTTGATGACGAAACAACTATCCAATCAGAGACCGCCACGTCAGATAACAAAAATCCTAACACAGGTATCCCGGTTACAGTTAAACTAAACTTTTTCAGTTTATCAAAGTTTCCGTGACGCTCCTTTTTCTGTGTCCTCAGTCGCACTTGAACTCCAAAAAAACATTTTTTGCCCAGTTTCTTCTCTTTTTTCTTTCTTTTTATATGTATGATTGTCATGGCAATCCTCAATGCTTTTCGCTTTGCTTATAATGTGGTGCTGCGTGACGAGGGGAAGCCTTCCTCTCTATAAACAAGATAAAACAAGGGAGCACATTAAAATTTTGTTTGTGTAAAGAAAGTCATTGTTCTTGGTTGATCTATCTAGCGCGCGCAATCCATCTTGTGACAGGCGTTCTTTGTAGTGTTTTGGTTTCGGCCGATCCGAATGGCTTACGATCGTGTAAGGAAGGGAAAGACGAGTGCAATTTTTTGACCTTTCCTTTTTTACACGTCGCTCCGCTCCTCGCAAAATATTCGTCGGTTTTCGGAGTAAATTCGCTAGCCCGACTAAAGCAAGGAACGCCTGCCATGAAGTGTAGCGCGCGCACGTATATCTTAGAATATGTGCRATAGAATCGAAGATAAACCAACACAATCAAAATTTTAACGTGCTCCCTTGGATAAAACAGATCAATATAAACATGTGAAATATGCTGTGACAGCAATGAAAACACTGCTGGCCATTATCGTTTTTGGTCATGACGCTAGCACAGAAAAAACACAATGCACAACCAGTTTCTTGTGCACCTCTCCCCGTTTAGTTGKTGTCGTTGTTGTTGTTGTTGCTTTTGTTGTTGGCCATGATCCTTTTTGGTCATGACGCTAGCACAGAAAAAACACAATGCACAACCAGTTTCTCATGCATCTCTCCCCGTTTAATTGTTGTCGTTGTTGTTGTTTTTCAGTTACCCTTCCCTTTCTCTCCTACACGCCGATTTTCATTGTTTATTCTTGGAAAATTTGTCCAATCCCTTTTGCCCTGCTCGGAAATTAGTAGCAAACTCCCTGTTTGAACCATATCGGCAAGCCCAAACTCCTCTAATGGTGTCCCGTTCCGGATCCGGCCTTATACTGATAGAAAAAAAAAACCCGGCTTCTGCAAGGTGGGTGCTAGGAGGGACATAAACAGCAATAAAGTCACGTGACTAACCTGAAACTATATGGTATAAATTTAACATAATAAGTTGCGCGCGCCTACAAATTACACAGCATTCAAGAGTAAGAAAAGGAAAGCGTTTGTACGGTACCTTGGCTTACCTTCATTGCCAGTAGTAACTCGGCAATGTGAAGGCAGATATGGCGCAATATTCTCCGTTGCGTCTTCACTGTCTGTATCCCTGACAGGTTCATCTCGGAGATAACTATTCTTTAAATAATGAGGATCAAATTCTATAGAATTGTGGTCGTAGTTAGGTTCAATTCGTTCTCTTTTAGATCCTTTTATTGATATATTTATATCATGTTGAGGATGCGCAACTTTAGAGTCGAGGTCTTCCTTGCATGATGGCTGCAGTGATGGTAATTTCACTACATAACTTTGGTCTGGCCCTGTTTTTTCCATGGTATTTTGTGCCAGGATTTGATCCTGCCGATCGTTCGCTGTATTATCCCAGGCTCTAGTGTTTTTAGAATTCTCAAGAGGTCGCATCGGAGACATGATCCCAGCCAGAGGTTCAAGTCTATTATCACGAACCGTCATCTTATACTCTTTGGTTTTCTTCTTTCTTGGCTTCACCAGCCCAGCTGCCGCTAACTCGTTTTCAATTTGCATTCTGTCGAGGCTTGTATCTGATGGAGAAACATGATTCCCTCGTCTAGAATGCCCGTCATGTGGCATACGATTACCGAACAACCCTGAGGCTCTTCGAAGCTCCGATTCACTTCGCGCAACATCTCTGCGCATTCTTGTCTTGTACTCCCTCGGAGGACGCGTGATATGACGTGGTACGTCGGGATAACGGAGTAAGGCAGGATAATAACCAGGATAATATTGATTATGATGATGACACGGTCGATACCCTTGCATATGAGGTGAGTACAGGAAGTCTTGCTTTGGTTGAAATTCATCCGCTTCGTCGAAACTCAAAACCTCATCTGACGACACTTCCTCATCAAAATCACTATCCCCTAGCCAATCCTTTTCCTTACCAATACTCTTACTTTTCCTTTCATTCTGAACAAATTTAGTGTTGTAATCAAAACTCGTAGGGTAAAATTGAACCAGTTTGGGGCCAGATTTAGGGCTCGTCGCACGGGGCTTTTCCCGCCCTTGGCCAAACTTAACGCCGCCTTCCGCGGAACGACTATTGGGATTTTTCTTGTCCATTCTTGAGAAGTACATATCGAGATTGCTCTCCGACATTGCAGATGGGTTGCCGGCGTGTTTACAAGGGTGTCTACCGTCCTGGATCGGATCAAACAAGTCATTTTCTTTACTCTTCATTTCAACGCCTGCGTAACTTCCCGAATAACCTAAAGGAAAGTCCTTAAGCTCAACAACCTGACGCCTTTTGGGCTGTAATTTGATTATATCCTCGACGCTCTGATTGATCGATTTGCCCGAGTCACGCGTGCCGCGCGAGTCACGTGACCACTGACAATAACTACCACCATTGATTTTGTTGAAGTCTGTACTTCCATAATTTTTCTGACCACGAAAGCTGGATTGGTTGTTCAAAAATTCACCAGGACTGTACCAATTCGGGTCCTGTTCGTCGTAGACCGAACTCCTTTTACCCGAGTTTCCGAACTGCTGGTAATCGTAGCCGTACTTCGTGGCAAGGAATTCATAGCGAAATTTGTCCCGATCTCTTGATCTTTTGAGTATTGCTTGGACTATAGATTTGGATTTCTTGGGATTTGGTAGGTTAGAGGAAGGGCCTTTACTGCTGTCAGTCATCCAAGGTGGCTAGAAAGAGAGAGGTATTATAATTGAATATGAATATGTGTAAAACTTATACGAGGTGGGGATTAGCTACGGAAATTCGTTAAATATTAACAATTATTATATAGTCAGAATAGTGCGCGCGCGCTGATTGGTCAAAAACAGTCGCGATATAACACGCTCTGATTGGTTAAATTGCGTGCATCCGAAAATGGATGGTGCACGCTAACGTGATTGGGTAGCGTGCACCATGTAATGAAGATTTCGTTAGGAAAAAATGTTTCCATTTTTTTCGACCAACAAATATTTTTTTGCGGTTTTGCTATGATGTTATAAAATCAATGGTCAATGTTTAGTTGTGCGCATATCCAGTTCTGGTAGCACGCGGGAGGTTGCTAAGCACGAAAGAAGCGCAATAGTGGCACGAGGCGTAGTCGAGTACTCCCGTGTACCATTCCTTAAAAGACGACTACTGATATTGTACCGATGTGCTGTTACATGAATGTATTTCTACATTATTCAAGAATCAAAGTTTATTTCCACATTGTTTGAACTTACTTGATAGTCAGGAGAAAGAAACAGTTCCTCTTTCGTAGCACTAGATGAGGAGTAAGTACTCTTGGTAGTGACACGGTATCTGCTTGCGTAGTTCTTGGACGCCTTATCAAATATGCACTTTCCACACCTTCCTTTACGTGCAGTGGGGTTAGGACAGCCAATGAGATCGACTTCTAGGTCATTCTTGTGGCGTTTGCGCATCAAACATGTGCAAGGGGCGTGGAGACAGATTACTAGTACCACTATCAACATGACTGCTGTCATCAGGCTTATTAGGTGGCTGTGGTTGGTTGTTGATTTGATGGGCTCCCTGACAGCTATAAAAAGAAATAAAAATATAATCCTCTACTAGCTCTTGATTTTCAGAAAGGAATCAAATTGAGCTACCATAATTGCCACATCTTACGAAAATAACAATAACAGCAGCAGCACCAGCAACAACAACAACAACAACAACAACAACAACAGCTAAAACTGACAAAAATATCGAACAACAGTTGCGGTGGTTTTGAAAGTCTGGTTTATTTGGATTCTTGAATTTGTCCCAGAGGTTTTCTTTTCCTAGCGTAGCCCAACAGGCACACTCACGCTAAGAGGATTAAGATAAAGAAAATTTTGGTTCATTCGTCACGCTGAGCTTTTGCGTGGGTGCGTAGTTCTGATAATTTAGGCATATTTTTGAATAAAAAACAAGCTTTGCTTCAAGCCTTATGGAAATTCCTAAAAATGGACCTATATTATCAAGGAACATTTTTTTATAAGGGCCTTCCGATTACAAATCCACCAGTCTGCTAACGCAAATATCCTTCCAGCTGTCATAACAAACCCACCCCCTTCTACGACCTCTCATGTTTATTTCCTTGAGGAAACATTGAGAGAGATTTGCTGGGAATATAAGAGAAAGAAAGAACCGTTTCCTTTTTATTTCAAAATCTTTTCCCTCCCGGTCATAAGCATGCAGTCACGGTTATAAGACCTTATAAGCCTATATATCAAAAAAACCCTTATGAATGAGCATAAGCCCAGGGTTTATAACCGGGGTTTTGCGGTATATATGATATTCTCATAAGTTCTAAAAACGGCAAAATATATTTATTCGAAAAGTCTATAGGAATCGGATGACGGAGCAAAGCCGAGGTCAGCCAATGATGCTCAGGAATGACGACGTTTAAACGAAAAGATTCGATTAGCTGACGGCTCTGTTGAAATTTTTGGCTAAAAACAAAAATACTGAGTTTCTTTTGAGAGTCAAGGTCACTAATAGGTTTTCCCTTAACCACAATGAATATTGGATTGGGCATAAAAGTAGACGCAGTATCTCTTATGGTTTATGGTAGAAAATATTTGTACGCGCCGAGTGCACGTTGACTGTAAAATGGCTTCTGCTGTCCAATTAAAATGTAGAAGCCATTTGAGAATCGTGTAGTTTGGCTCTAAAATGACTTCCGCAGTGACCAATCATAATGTAGAAGCCATTTGAGAATCGTGTAGTTTGGCTCTAAAATGGCTTCCGCAGTGACCAATCATAATGTAGAAGCATGTTTGAGAATCGTGTAGTTTGGCTCTAAAATGGCTTCCGCAGTGACCAATCATAATGTAGAAGCATGTTTGAGAATAGCGTAGTTTTGCTCTAAAATGGCTTCCGCTTTGACCAATGGGCATACGTTTCCAGCTGAAATATATTGCACCAATTATAGAAATAATTATCATTATTTTTTATTGATCTAATATATTTTTATGACTGAGTAACTATTACTGTAAAGTTCTGCGTTGGCTGTTAATGAAGTAACCTTGGGAGATCGTAGGAGTAACGTCTGGAAGGCATAGAATGGCGCGCGCCACACACTTCTTATATATCCGTTCACCTACTCAAAAAATGACATAGTAAATGAATGCTTTTATGCATGCTGTCATATTGTAGCTCGTCTAATAACTTAATTACAGGCTGATGTTCAATACATTGAACCCCCAAATGTTAATTTTCTCAAGAATATAGTTTTAAGTGTAATCAGCATGAGATACTCGCCTTTATGTTTAGCGAATTATTTATGGTTTTATCCATGTTGTTTTAGGAGATTTTCGATAAGATTGTGTTCAAAAAGCCAACATAGTGAAATAAAAATTGAAATACTAGACAGTCAATATTATTTGTGTAGATTCATTATTCACTAGTATGGATGGAGGCGTAGGAAGATGATGACTTGTCGCTGAAGGAATAACAAATAACAGGAAGAGAATTCTTAAAATAGGAAAAGAAAAGAGAAAAGGAATGGGGAGGGAAAGGAAAGGAAAGGAAAGGAAAGGAAAGGAAAGGAAAGGAAANGAGGAAAGGAAAGGAAAGGAAAGGAAAGGAAAGGAAAGGAAAGGAAAGGAAAGAAAAAGAAAAATGGCCGTGATATTTATTCTCTTAAACTTAACAGCTTTCTTGTATTGATGAACTTGATCCTACACACATATTAGAAATTAACTGATACTACCATCCAACGACGGAATTTCCAAACCGACATGCAGTAAACTGATTACCCAAAATGGCTGCCATTTTCCCTGACCCGCGGAAAAAAACTAATAAAAGCTAGCTATTTTCTTGTTCTACTGACTGTCCAGAAAAAAATAAATAGTAGAGCTTTTAATAACTGTGTAAAAGTCTTGGAAGAAAGCTTTAAACAACTTGTGAACAACGCGGTGTTCTTTTTGAAAAATACGAACAAATAATTAAGACCGATATTTCCGTTTATTTCTGAATATGTACTCATTAGACTCTAAAAAGAGAAAAGTTGTTGATTGAAGAACCTTGAAAAGGGGCTATTTTTGGAACTGGGTGCTTATARATAGCAAAAAAAGAGCGGATTGAATGAAAAAGAAAACAATAAGGAAATGAAATTCGGAAATCGAATTTACCAGGACTGTCCCTTGATTTGAAGCTTTCAATTCTATATTTTTCCCCCCATAAAACAGTGGAATACAAATTTAAATCTTATGAAGAATTGTGTTAATTCGATTGCTCCAAGGTACATAAATTTTTCAAATACGAAACCGTCTTGGGGAAAATACTATTGATAATGCTTGAGACGTTTTTCTAAGATGTTTCACAAAAAATTAAATACGTATTTAGCTTGGGGTAATTTTTAAATGCCTTAAAATTTTAAGCCTTTTTCAGACTGTTTTTCTTTGCATTTTGATCAATGACGTCAACACGTGGGTCTCAACAGAAACAGGTCTTTTCTGATTATCAGAGTCTTAAATATATAATATGACGCTTTTGTGCACTAGACCAAAAACTAGGGCGTCGGTTCAATTATTTGTAGTGACAAATGACCTGACAAATGAGCCTAAGGAATCTGATGTTAAAGTTTTTGAAGCCTTTCTTTGAAGTTTTTCTTTTTTTTTTTTTGACAAAAGGTTTGAGAGTAGATGCGTAACTATAGCAAGCTTACCATATCATTTGCCTTTAGGGGCAGCTATTTTACTACGATGTGAGTGCTTATAATCATATGAAACCAGTGTCTTGAACTGTCACTGAGAGAAGTAATTACGACACTGTTCTTAAAATATTAGATATTCTAATATTCCACGGTATTTATTCCCGGTTTTAGAAACTGCTCTACATGGGTATAATCAGTGTAATCTCTGTTTTCCTATTTTTAATAGCTTCGCAGAATGCTTGCCGAGATTTGATAAAGGAATGCTAAATTTTGCTTGATATACACATAAAATAGGGTGCTTCGATACTGATCAGTGGACCTAAGAGCTTAATCAGCAAAAAATTTTAAAAAAACCAAAACAAACACATTGTCAAAGTGACCATTTTTGATATCTAGAAACATGATATATATTCTAGAAAGTCTAGAAAGGTGGAAATTCACCCACAGAAGCCGAGACAGGAAGGAATGACAAGTAATAGTTAGAAAAGCTTATTACACTCCCTTTCGACATGTTATCACTTGCAGAAGATTGTAATTGCATATTTTCGTCTTTTCATGATAATCAAGGGAGATCAGAATGTGTGGTGTGTGACGTCATAAATGACGTCATTCTTACATTAGAATCGATATAAGTAAGCGATTATCCCACTGATGGAAAGAGAGGTTCCGCTTCTTCCAAATTCCGCCACATTTTATAATTAATACTTTGATTTTCAAACTCAACAATAATATACAAAATTTTGTTAAATTTCACATCACGTTCCTATTGGTTATCGATGGACCATCGTCATGTATTTTTAATTTTTTTATGTTTTCTTTTTCCTTGTGAAAAATTAGGAATCGATTTAATCTATCTGTGTGGTATAGAATATTTCCCACATAACTTGATGTCTTCTCGGATAATTGAACTGTTATTATTTAGATTCATTAGATATTTGAGGTCTGGTAATTAAAGCAAATAAATTTCAGTTCTGGTCAAGATATTCTACAACGTCGTTTTTAAAATATTTCATGCGCCTTTGCAATAAATTATTGTCGATTTGATTTTTAAGTCACCAAACGTGGGACTGAATGAACAAAAGCGCAGGTTAATAATCGAGTAAATAATCGACTAACTAATGAGACAGGACTAAGCCGTTGAAAGTAAATTAAACTATATTGAAAATTCCTTAGTAATACTGAAATCATTTTTAGCGAAAGACTCCCTTTTTTAAGTAGACAAGTTATAAGAAAAAATAAGACGGGAGGATACGACGTAAAGCCATAATACCCGGTAGAGCAAGAGGAAACATTTGCTCGCATTTGAATACCTCTCCTGCCAAGAAAAATAATTCAATTTAGATTTTTTATCTTTCTTCCAGCCATGCTTATCATAACCAAAACATTTTGTTTACGAGTCGGAACAATTTTTTGCCTAGTTTGTCGAAATTAAATCATTTTTTTGTTTGAGATATTGCAAAATATTCGAGAATTTTGCAATTGTTTTTGTATTCGTGGTATAATTATCGTTCACTACGCAATTTCAATAAAGTGGAGTAGTCGACCCTTCTGAATTCAAGTCAGCTGTTTCCAGCCACTTTGCATATTCCAACTAGATTATAAAGCTCTAAAACAGGAAAACGCTGCTAAATTTTTTTTTTAGCGTTTAAATTTCTTCGAAAAAATGGTGAAGAAAATCTTCATTTTAGTGGGTTTTCTTGATATAGTAGTGTTAGTAATATGGATATATATTTCATCGTCACTTAGCAGATTCAACAAACTACACCCTATCGCTCCTATAGAATATAATTCAAGTACTCATTCAGTACGACGTACACTTACCGTACGAATTCAGCTCAGTTATCTGGTCATTCGTCGGTAAATCCACAAATTCAACCTCTAAATTTTTGTACAGATCTCGAGAAAGGCTTCTCTTCATTCTGTTCCAATGCCTTATCTTCTTTTTCTTCGTGTTTTCATTTTTTTCATTGTTGTTAAAATCCGATGGTTCGCGTTTCGAAACATCTGGATGATGCTTTTGAGTAGAACTAGCTCGCCTGTCTGTGGAAAAGCTTTGCCAGATTTCAAAATCTTTTCGGTCACCGTCATCAACTTCTTCATTTTTGAACATTCCTCGGCTTTCGACCTTAAAGATATATAAAAACCTCATAATAAAAACGGTTCCCTCCGTAAAAAAATGACAGCTAAAACGGAAAGAAATTCAATAATTTAAATGCATTGAACTAAAATTAATTGTAGTATTTTTCTTACCTCTTGAATTTTCAAAAGTGCTACAACCAACATAGACAAGATCGTCCGCCATTTCATCTTTATGGTATGGACGCCGAAGCCGGCAAAAATTTAGCCGAGTCAATTGGCGATTCCTTCGTATTAAAGAATGTCCAGTTTTTACACTATCAATTTGTGTAGAGACTACATCGTCCAACTCAAACACGACAATTTTTACCAAAAAATCGATACTTCATAAAAAGACCTGTATGAGTATTAGTTCATTGAGGACAAAAGAATACTGCCAGGCCTGAAGATATGTTTGTCAAATTTAGGTTTAGAATCGGCTTGAATTATGTAAAATAGTCACTACGAGGATTTTCCCACATATTTGTTGAAAATAATATCTAGCACCGGATATTTGTTTTCGAAAGCTTTTAAGATTCTACACGTTGCTTTCTGACGCACCTCGTACAAGTCTAATCGAAGCAGGTAATATTTTTAGCTGAGTTTAGAATTAGAGTAGATCATAGAATTTTCTTGTCTGGTTGGTCGGTAGTGGAAGCTTGTACTTGCATGCTTAGCGGGAAGCCAGTTTACCGCGGTCAAGCCAGTCAATCAATTTAATACTGGAATCTCATTGGTTAAGAGCAATGTAAGGGGCTAGAGGATTTTCGTCCATTGCCACATAGAAAATTCCTTTGAGGTAAATATTTTTAACGTTTGATGTGAAATGTTCATAAGATCTCGATTACTAGAATATTTAATGTAAATTAAATTTTTCTTGGCCGACATTCATTGAAATTCGCCAATCAGTCACAAGTAAATCAATAAAACAAAAGGTCAAAAAACTCATTTATTTTTCCATAGTGATTATTTACACGAAACCATGAAGAAATTGAAAATTACACTTATTTGATTAAACGTCGAGAATAAAGTCTTTTTTTTTAGTTTTCAGATGTCTGCCAAAGCAAAAGAACTTCGCAGTGTCTAAAAATAGACATGACTCTACGTATTTCCAACCGATTTTCATTTGATAAGATATCTCGATGATGCCTTATTTCTCATTTTGAGCTATGGTCAATGAAGCACTAATTTTTAATCCCAGACTCGTTAGAATTCTTTTCACAGTATTAAACCTTTCAGGACGTTTTTCCACAATGCAATTTTAATGGAATTTCATATGGTTTTGAATTCTATACAAATATTTTTAAAAGAATTTCTAGCTTTTCAAAAATATCAATCATTATTTTGTGGTCGCACGAGGTGTCATCAGTCTTCATTGTACTTCACTATTGGAATATATATGGTCAACAAATATACTAAGTCAAAATGGTCATACATTTTGCGAATGAAGTTTGAGTATATTGCGAAGCAACAAAACAAAGTCTCTCTGTCTTATAGTTTCGTGTAATTGTCTTTTTTATAAGTGTTGAAATATTATAGACGATGGATTTGAATATGGTCAAAGCGCAAGAAAACAGGTGCTTGAGATACCACGCTGAAATATTATCACAATCATAATAATTATGGTGGCCACATGTACAGGCAAGGAAATGTGGGATTCGACACAGAGCTGCCTCGCGGTTGTAAACTTGCGCAGCGTGGAATGAAATAGTTAGAAGGCAAGTCGTTGTATTTTGATCTTAAGATAAAAATGAAATAAAAAGAGCAAGATAATAATAATAATAATAATAGTAATAATAATTATTATATATATATATATATCGACTGTTTTTTTCTTCTATATTAGAATTTCCCTCCCCATACCCACTAGTGCTGTTTCTTGTTTGTTCGTTGTTGTTGTTTTTTTTCAGTTGTTATTTTTAGTTTGCGTTTGTTTCTTGTTTTGATTTTATGTTTTTTGTATTTGTATTTGTTTTGTTTTGTTGCTCTTAATGCATTTTTTATTTTGTGTAGTGTACTAGTGTTTCGTTGTTGCTGTTGCTGTTGTTTTTTGTAGGTTTTTGAAAAATGAGCAACCCAAATGTATAATTCGCCTAGTTCGATAAAATTACAGTTACTAAAAAAAGTGTAAAACAAAAGAAAACAATGACAGAATTTAATAGAGTATAGAGGCTTTGCACCATYACGTGATGGCAACCATGACACATGATAGGAGGCACAGTCGTTCTCCCCTGTGAAACTGAATTCTTTCTCATGTAAATCAGATTAGACCAGATTCAATTGCTTACTATCAATCACGTGACTTTTTTGGAGTTGACTGGGGGGCGAACAAGCGGTTGACTGGGGGACAACTAGCAGATGCTAAGTCAAAACATATCAAAATAAGTCCTCAAACTATTGTATTTGACTATTTTCACGACACCAAACCAGAAAACAAGAGATCAAAACAACCTCCAGGATTCTACAAGCCATCAAAAAAGAGCTATTACCGGAAGTGACGTCTATTGATAGCAACCTATTGTTCCTGTCTCCTGTCATGGCTGCCATCACGTGGTGGTGTAAAGCCTATATCATGCTCACTTTTGTTTTCACTATTGGCCAATGTAAAATATCCTGCGCTGCATCCGGAATTTTCTGTCGTAAAGTCCGTCTGCGCAGCAGCGACAAGAATCGATAAACAAGGCCTCTAAACTAACCCCTCTGGGTATCGTTAGCCCACATACCGCAGAATATTGGTATTCTAAATTTCGTTAAAAGTTAATTTAGTCTCTAAACTATTCATAAGTAAGCCATCAGTTCAGTAAGTGCTTTTACATTAGCCTGCGTGCCTCCGAACGTTTATCGTAAAGTCCGTCGACAAATCAATGCGGGAGGGCCTGGAAACAAATGAGCCGCTAAAGTCAGTCCCCCGTGGAATATAATTCAGTTAACTCTGAAATATCTGAGGAAGATATGTTATAAATTATATATTATAGGTAATTACGACAAACTGAACAACATGGCGGCACCATGCAATGACGTCACTTGAAAACCGGCCATAGAAAAATAAAATTAAAGCTTGCTCGTTAGTTTGACTCGAACTATTTGTGTCTTGTTAGTTCATTATATTCAACAAAGTAAATCTGTGTTTTAACCAAACAAAATGTCTCGCATGTAGAAACTAAATCAAAAGAAGTCGATAGCAGGCGTGTAGGTATTTAACTCATGGATGTGTTTTTAGCATTGAAGAGCGACTAAAACGTTTTCCATTAAGTCAAGCATCAGAGGATAGTGTCTGTACTACTTTCGACACTTTTTCCAATAATTGCTTTTGAGCCGAGATGAAGACAATTAGAAATGTGGCCTTATCAGTTGTCATATAAACATTTTTAACTTTGAAAGAGCCGTTCCTGCATTTAAATCATTTAGCTTGTCAAAAGGTTTTGGTGAGTCATTCATTATGATAAAATTTGTTACTAGCTTGTCATGCACTGCCAGATTTTGTATATGTTATTTGACTGTAAAGTAGCACGCCACACGGCATTCTTTGATCATTGCATATCCAGTAGAAATGCTAGGATACCGTTCAACTCCGTCACCATCACCATCACGGTCACGGTCATCAGTTTTTCACAGTCATACATTCCTCATCTGTTACCTTTTCCTGGATTTTTCAGCCGTCTTACGCACCATCCTTTCCTGGATCTAACACTACAAGTACCTGCATAATTAGTTTTGCCACATTACCAGGTTTACCCTCCTACGGAACAAAATTAGAAGCGGTTAAAAAAAATCGCGCATGCCCCTTAGGGTGTTTTCTCATGTATGCTAGTGAAATCGTTTTTTCAGTGGAAATAGTTGTGTGTTTGCTTTTTTCTTTTTTCAGTTTTCATTTTTTGATTGAAAATAACCGGAGACCATACTCCCAGACCCGAATGCTGAAGCTTCGTATGGTAGCGCAAAAGCATTTACGGCTACGCCAGAGATTTCGACCCCGCTATCCCGGGAGGAATTACAGACTGATCAGGAAGCTCGGCCGAAGCCTAAGGGAGAGGTTAGTCGGCCCCTAGACCGTAGATGATTAACCCCTTGCTATGACCAGCAGACCTAAATAATCGATTTTGTTGCTGATGAATTAACATCCATAGTCACTCCTTTCCTTGTGGGACACGTTTTAAAAACGTTCCGCGACTCACATTTACATGCCAAATTATGATGCAATCTTTTGAAAAAATGTTACAAGAGAAAAAAGAAAGAAAATTGAAAAGGAAAAAGTTGGATTAAACTCGTGCTGCAAAAAATACGCGCATGCGCAAAGCACGCATAGATCAATGAATCTCCTGCCATCCCGTTTTTTTGTAGGTTGCGCGATATTTTTTTCTTAGATGAAGTGCTTGCTAGATATTTTTGGGGATTTAGTCGCTTGATCCACCGTTTTTCGTTTCGTTGCGTTCAAACTGAAATTTCATGTCAAGCCTTTTCATATGGCACTTATTTCAATAAAGTTAGTCCCTGAAAAGCTACAAAGCTGAGACCGACAAGGATTATGGGTAACCTTGTTTCAACCGCTTCATAACTGTTCTTTGACTCGAGATCTTCTACCAGTTGCGAGTTCACCTCTGAGCATCCTCAACTGCTGCAGTCTGTCAAAAGCTTTACTTGTTGAATATGAAATATTTCCCATGATTCTTAGCGATCACAGCTTTCTAGGTTTTTTGGTGACTAATTTTATTGAAATAAGTATATTTAAATTGTTTAGGAATGCAGTCAGTGTAGTTATAAGGGAATATTTGGTCACACTTAGTGTATGGCATCATGATTCAACACAAACCAGAAAAAAACAGAGGACTTCATGATATAGAGGCTTTGCACCATCACCTGATGGCAGCCATGTTACATGGCAGGAATAATACAATGAGAGTTTTACATGAGAAAGAATTAAATAGCATTTTTTCATGGTCACTAAAAATAGACATCGCAAAGCCTTCTGGGATCCAAATGCAGACAAACATTGCAAATAWAGGCTTCAATTAAATGTAAAAGAAGAAGAATAGCAGTTATAAAACTATAGTTCTTCAGTGAGATGGAAACAATGAGTCTACAGAACATTGTTACAACATATATGCATGTGTGCCTGGCTTGGCTTGTTGGCATTTCAATCATATGATGCACAATTGTGACGTCATCTGTGGAAAACACTATTACCACAGGCAGTCCAAGCTGTATAACGGGCACCAGCAGAGGTGATGATATAAAGCCTCTATCCCTGTACTCTAGAGGCTTCTCAATCATTGATTTTGTGACCACAGACCTTTGAAACTCAAGTGATAAGATCTCTGGTACTAAGGTTTGCAGCAATAGAAAAATATGAAATTTAACAACAAGAATAACTTAGGAGATTTCTATTTTATTTAAAGGTGTTGTTGAAAGTCTTTCAAATCTCCAGCTGTACAATACACAGGACAGTATAAATAGAACATTCATTTATTTCTTGGATGATGTTCTCTTGTTGTGTTTCTTGGCAAAGCGAAGATTTCGTAAAAATTTGGGCTCAACCTGTTGAAAAACAAATGAAAATCTTAGTGCGAAGATTCCTGACAAAGACAGGCTGTTACACTTGCTTTCAATAACATACACCTATTTTATAGAGTGCAAACAATATAACCATGAAACTTAAGTAATACTAATAGCACAATTTCATGCAAATTCCATTGTTTTCTATTGCTTAATTAGCACTATTTTGTACTATTTAGTAATTAGTGTTCCTCGGATTAATTGTTTGCACTCTAAAACGTTGTTGCTCAAAGATCTATAATCTAAAATCTAAGACTGAGTGGAATTGTGGGGGACTGTTTGTTCAGGTCAAATTCTAACATATTACTACACCTCTCGTTGGTTGATTATATTTGAAGTTTGATGGCAATTATAGTTGACTTTCATATGAATGTGAAACTCATATTGGCTATGACCAGAGGATTGGGTGGGTTTGCTCGCCACTTATGGTTCAAAATCATAACTTAAAAAGAGCCTCTAGAACCAGGTTGTGTTATGTTAGATGTCAAAGCGATGGGGCAGATGTGTATCAGTTACAGTAGGCCTAGAGTAAATGTAGAACTTTCCATGCACCAATGTCATTAAAAACAATGGATATCAGGTGATAATGAGGCGGCATTCTTTGTTGTAATTAAGTTTGGTGCATGGAAAGTTTGACGTTTGCCCTAGGCCTAAGTACTCAACATGTGAAGATACATGTACAAATTGCCATTTCAGAGGTTATTCATCACAAATTTACAACACAAATTAGCAATGAAATGTAATGTGTGATGAAGTGCAGCATGCAAACCTCAGCTATAAACAGATCCCTTATATCCTATGAATCAGAAGGATTCAGAACTTTACACAGGAAAGGCAATCTACAGCTTGCAAGTGCATTCCCAAGAAAGTGAAAAACAAAATTATGGTGGCCATCTTGGTTCTGTTAAGAATGGATGCTTATGAGAAATATCTTGTTAAATAGCACCAACATGGACGCAAACTGATTTAAGATATTAAATGTTGTTTTTGAGTTTTCGAAATCCTTATGAAAAGTTTTTAAGATGTAGTTCTGAAATACTTCTGGCTTGAGTTAGGGATTGAATACTTAAAACCATCAATATTCTATTAAATGGGATACGTCGTGAAAGAAACATTTGAAATACAAAGTCTAGACAGATGAGCTTACGATTAAGTAAAACTAATAATTTCTCTAGCATACTTACTCCCTTTAACGATGGGAATCTCTGTGATTTCGGCTTCTTAATGCCATTTCGGTGAGCCTTGAAGCCTATAAATACACAATTGAGTTATTTTTTTATTAAACATAAAAATACAAGGCAAAATAAATTTAAGATTTTATATACCTTGGTTGTGATTGGTATGATTCTTCGACTTTGCCATATCGATCTAAAGGTTTAATGTGTCGTTCCTCAAAGTTCTGGCAGCGAATAGAAAAAATAATTAGCCAACTTGAAAAATAAATTATCCAAGAATCTCTGTGCAAAGTATTTTTAGCAGATGGGCAAAATTACCTGAGAATTCCCGAAGATAACACAACACAATATACTGTATTCCTATCTACAGAGGTTACAGTAGAAGAGAAAGAACCATTACGAGCGCAGTGAACTATGGGAAGTATTAGCCTTTCTGGTTGGTCTACCTGTGTACACAGGATGCCCAACAGGAAGAAACTTCAGCAAACAAGTTTGGACGTGAGAGCATAAGCTTTTGAATTATAATTCAATTATAACAGTATTTACGACATATTCTCACAAATTTTGTTAGTTAATTGTCTTGACAAGTCCTCCGAATGTTTTTATCTTTTCGTGTAATGAACTGAGAAACTGTGATGTACTGTTGCAGTTGGTTGGGAAAAGGAGAGTTAAAAGTCCTAGAGTGCCTTTCTTGTCAAGATATTCCCACTTTGACGGTATATGAACAGGGGTGGATCCAGGGGTGGTAAAAGGGGTGACAATTCACCCCCCTTTTACTCAAATTTCTCAGCATATCGTTAGTAACAGTCACCCCCTTTTCCTCAAATTTCTGGTAAAACCTTTGTAATAGTCATCCCCCTTCTAAAATTCCTGGATTCGCCCCTGATAAAATGTAGCAGAAATGCAGGCTCACGTGTACTCTCTGTCTCCCATAACACGTGTCTAGCCATGCAATCAGGTTTCCATTCAAACCTGCGCATGCCCACCAAATCAACAAAATAACGTAACCTTTATTCAATCTGGTCCTCAGTTCTCTTGGTTCTTTGATTCCTTGATTGCGCAAAACCATTTTTGGTTAAATTAAACTCATTTAGTTTGATCTTTAATATTCTTCGATGCGTCATACCCCGAGTAGTTACATATAGTAGAATGTTGTGAATGCGGATAGCTTGACCCGTTCATCCCCCGCACATTTCAGAGTGTACATCAACGATCGTGAAAAGGGCAAATTGTTTTAGTACCTAGATATCATATTTATTTTTGATTAAAAAATTCTTTGAGTTCAACATACAGATCGTAAAGTCATAATAAATATTTGCCATTTTGATCGCTTTATCACCATTTTTCATCATTGCTGAGGTTACCAAAATTGATCATAGTAAACTTAATGACGTTTTAAATCTTTAAGAAGAGGTCAAAGTACTTGTTATTGATTAGTACTTTTTTTTATTTAGTTACCGTTCTTTAAACTCGCAACCGTGACTCCCAAACCGCAACAGTATTGCTTAGTAAGCATATTTCAAGTGTGCAACAATGACGTCATTCCTTCCTGAGTGAACACAAACGTTTCACTAACATTATATACACAACCGATGTATATATATATATAAAATGCTTTCAAAATGAAAGTTTTGGAAACTTTGCTGATAAGGTTGGTTAAATGCGATATTTGAGTCGTTAGCGGCTGCATGCCGGAAAACGAAGGAAAAAATAGATTGTTGAACATTTAAATCTAAATCTAACAAACTGGTAACGTAATTAAGTTTGAACTTCTTCAATAGGTGATGCTTCTCTTCTCCAATCTATCCTCGTGCATGCATGACCATTACCACCGTTTGCACAAGTACTACGCGGCCACCCCAGACAATAATCTGGTCATGTCAGTTTGTAATAGACTGCCCTCAATCAAACACGTCGACGCCATGTACAGTTTAGATCGGTGAGTGTGACTTTTTGATCGATTTTTCCCAGTCAAATATCTGAAAGGAAATCCCGAAAGCGATTGAAATGAGTTTGAGTGCATCCAAGTAGAATTGTGTTTGATTAAAAGGCAGTCTATTGCAAACTTCACGTCACAGTTTTAATCTGGTTTGGCCGCATATAGTAATGCAAACGGCGGTAATCACCTAGCCTCTGGAACCCAGTGTGGAAACACTGAGATCATTTAATGTTTTTGTCTAGCTAGCTAATAGCATATCTATTAACCAACAAAGCATATACTACGTAAAACTTTTAAGAGAAAATACTTTGAGGTTTGTTTACAAGGCGAAGAAGCGAAGATTCCAGAAGAAAATGGAAAAAGCGTGTGAAAAAAGATTTCTTCTGCCAAGGAACAGTTTCAACAACTATATTGTTCAGATAAGTCAAAACATTTACAACGTTAACTTCCGTTTCATCAAAAGAGACATTAATTGTGGTAAAATAACAAGGAAATAGGGATCGCCATTGAATAAAAAGTTGGATTGTTCGTGACTCTAGTGCTTTTGGTTCACGGAAATGCGTTCGCTTGTTGATCATTATTGATCCCCTTCCGTTTACTGACCAAATTTCTCGAATGTTTATATTAGGAGTACTAGTATGAACTGAAGTCACGAATTTTGAGAGAAAGACAAAATAATTGAAGTCGTTTTTAAACAAAGCTAATTATTTTTTTATCACCATTTATAATTTATCGAAGACGCCGAAATACCTGCTGCCGAAATACGACTTCAGAAATCGCTTATTTAGGAGTGCTTGAAGGGATAGCAAAAGTTGAGACTCTGCTCAGCACTTGAATGTTTAATTCGTGACGTTTTACAAGGGTTTTACTCTGACGTCTACTAAAACCCAACCCGCCTGCATTGCGATTATAATATTCGAAATATAGAGCTCTCGACTGGGTCAATTACGTCGATCGAGGGTCTTGGTCTTTACTAGTGTAAATTTAGATTTGTAGATCATGTTCAAGCTCTTTTTAGCTCATAATCAAGAGCTTGTGTTTAATCGGCTAGATGTATCACTCAGCACTTTCATCTTGCATGGCTATTTTAGTTTCTAGGATTTATATCTCTTCAAAATATTACCATGGCACTTTATGAATGCATATGGCAAGTTTGAATTTGATCAGCAGCATTGGATTATGTTCTCGTATGGAATGAAAGTGAAAACGCCTACGAGTAGGAGAGACCAGAACCGCAAACGGATGTACGTAATGATGAAGAGCTGAAAACACGAAAAGCTTGTTGAGACTTGATTTTCTTTTTTATACGAAAATACGGAAAGTTCAAGAATGTAAAACAAAGAGATTAAGAAAGAAGTGGCGCTGGAAGATAGAATTATTATGAGGGTGAAAAATAAAGAAAATTGAAAAAAGGGGGTAAGAAGGAACGAATAATAAAAAGAGAAAAAATGAGAAAGAATGAAAAAAGAAAAAAGGAAAAAAAAAACTATAAAAAGCCAATATTTGATCATTCTTCCAGTGGTGCCCTCAAACGGCTGAAGAGCTCGCCGCACCAATTTTTATCCCATCATATGGGGCTGAGTGCATGTGATTTAGCACTAAACATATAACTATTAAACCCACTGCACCCCGCCCAAGAATTAACAATGACAGCGGAGAGAGAGACTCAGCATTGAGCTTACCGTGTTGTAAAACCTTCAAAGCTTTTCGCAATAATTTCAGCTTCAACTTCCGATCACTAAAATCAGTATCGCCCCTCGCGACTATTAATAAATTTCCTATTTTTCTTTTTGTCAAATGAAAGAGAAAAACATTTCTTGGGTAGAGTCCAAAGATATTGTTTATAATCAAATTTAAATCTAGTAAAATCGATAGAATAGTTTCAGCTTCTGCTGAACACGGGATGAGCGCGAATCAGCGTGATTACTGAATTAATATAAACACTGCACGCTACTTCCTTATTATCATTAAATATTGCCCTAACCCGCCCCTTGTGGTAATCGAGTTGAAAGCCAAGCTTGTGACGAAAAGCTGTTATTCCTCAAAGTTTCGTATGACGGATGATGGATTTGTTTCTGATTATATTTATGATTTGTTTCTGAGATATATGATCAGTTTATTTGACACGATTGCTTAATATTCTTGAGATGCAACCACATGTCTCAAAATAAACAGTACAGCCGCCATCATGGTCGATCTACTAAGAGATGCTGGTATGAGGAATCGAATGCTTAATCGCCAGCCAGCATGGCGGTGACGTAACATGCACCCCAATAGGAGTACTATGAGATATCCGTCGTGATCAAGTGGCTTATCATGATTAAAGCAGTCCCACTTTAATTATATAAACTTTTATGTTCCATATAAATATATATACATATTTATTATTTAACTATTTATTTCTTTACTGAAATTTTTACCAATCAAGGTGTTATTTTCTCTCAGGCGTAACCCAAATATTCGCAGGGAATGCGTTGTCTATGGGTTGCGAAGGTAGATTAATTCAGGCTGAGATATTGACTTCAAGACTTTTGGCTTCACTTAGGAATACGATTCTCTTAGAGGACATTCAACAACTAAACTCAGACGCAAAACGCTTCTAAGACTGAGTCAGACCTCCTGTTTAAAAATTCCAGTGGATCCGCGTATCCGTATTTTCTCTTTTTTCCTCCAACCTTTAACACCCCCCCCCCCTCCCCCCACCCAAAATCACACAGTCTGAGGCGCCAAAAATTAAATATAAGCCCTAACTCAGTAGTATCTAATAAGTCGACACCTCTTAGGAAGGTCGTGGTCCTTTTCCCTCGGCAGGCCTTGGAAAAGTAATTTCACCTGTCGGGATTATGAATCAAAGTAATCATGGATTCCCACTGATACGTAAGCCCCCACCCTCCCCCCTTATAATAACCCTCCAGTCCAAAACTGACTGAAAAGAATAAGTTTCCAGTCCAAAGGCACTGAAAAAGAATAAGCCCCCAGGGGGATTGATAGAGGAACAAGGTATATGCAGAATCCATCTGGCAGCGTAACAGTAGGTGAGTAGACAATCAATGCAGCCATCCAATGCAGCCACCCACGCATTTTTGAAGTATACTTAAGCCCACGAGGAAATCATATGACTACGGCGAATCAAGTGGAAAGACTGGAAGTGCACAAAAGAGCTAATTGCTTTGGTGGCTAAAACTGAGTAACTTGGGGAGGGGGGAGGGGGGGCTGATAATGGCCATTTTTAGTCCCTCCAGCCTCATAACCATGCTTACCCTCAAAAAACTTTCGTTGATGGGCTTATGTAGCATGATCTTCTAAAACTAAATTCCGCATGACGTTTGAAAGCCATTTGACATCCCTTAGTTTAACTATATTTATATCAATCATTCCAATATATTGACAGATCATGCAGTTAACATGTTACAATGATTAGTAAGATATTGGCTGTTTATAAATACTTGGGCAAACAGAAAAAGAAAAAGCAACCCACTATTTATTTAACCAAAGGGTTTTCCCAGAGAGTTTGGAGAACGATTACTATCTGCAGTTATTAAAGAAATCATTTTATCGAGGTTTTTGATTTTGAGTGTTTTTACTAAATTCTCCACGGATATTTATTACATTTTGTTAAGATTCTTGCTTTGCTGGTTGCTAGGCAGTTCGCGGACTAATGATTTTGTAGTAGGGTACAATCAAACATCAACAGGTAGAAAGAAAGGCGCCAGTATGTCTGTGGCACCGGAAAAGATCAACTACGGTCCATGACCCCGCGATGTCGTGGGGTCTGCTTAAACTTTCTCGAATTCTTACACTACCGGTGATCAAGAATAATCTACATTTTTGAACAGTTTGAAAATATCATTAAAGATCGTATTTCTAGAGAATGAAAGGCTCTTACTCCCTGTTTTTGTTTCCGGTCCAAAGCGATTTACATGTAAAATTATTTTGCTAAAAAAATACATATTACGATAGCCTATAACTTGACATTTTGTACACATCCTACAGATCCCACCTCGAACTCCTCAAAACTCTAAAAAAAAAAAAAAAGAAAAAAAAGAAAGAAAAAAAAGACACACAAGAAAAGAAAACTATTACTAGCTGCTATATTTATCTTTGAGTACAATTGGGGAGTTTTAACTTAAAAGTACAAAACCAATGATCTTTTTAAACCATTTTTACTTATCGAGTTACCCAAAAAACGTGCTGTGGTTTGTTTACATTCTGCAGACATCATCCCCAACAAGTGATTTTTCTCTACACATTGTTGATAATAATTGATAATTTATTACTATAAACATATTTACAAAAATAATCATTTGTATACTATGAAATTAATATAAAATTGTACAACATTTTGAGGGTAAAGATATCGTAAACTTTAATATGAAATATAGAACGTTAGAATAGGTGTAAAAATATGCCTTAGTGTTGCGAAGCAATTTCTTGGAGAAGTATATCAAAAACACATAGGTATAAAGATGTTCGTGAACACAAGAGAGGAAAATAGTCCGAATATGAAGGAGAACGACAACAAAACTTCGTAGGTAAAAGAGCCTGAATGAATCTGATCAAAGGCTATAATTATATAAAGTTAACACAAAAAATTGTGTTACAAGCCACTGCATATGCAGCAAAAATTATGTTTGAACAGTGGTGAACAAAAACCACTGTATATTATGAAATATTATTAATGATTCCTATAGTGCTAGCTAATAAATTATAGATCTAGTATTCTTATTTCTATATATATAATAATTTTCAATTTGGCGTCGATGTAATTTCAATTATAGGAGGGTTACAGAAATGTTCTGTTATATTGTGTCACTGGAGTTTAGTTCGATATCGTCCGCATCAAGACTACTTGCTGGTGATAAAGTACTAGTTGTGGAACTTGGGGTTCGCGGAGAGTTGATTGAACGTTCAAATTCTAGAAGTTGGCCCATGAAGTTGAAGTTCGGAGATACATTTGATTTTCTTGCTTTGACGAAATCGTACGCTTCGTTCAAGGTCAAATTTTGTGACGACATTAAGTAAGCGATTGTAACGGTAACAGATCGCGAGACTCCAGCCAAACAGTGCACCAAAACACCGGAGCCTTTCTCTCTTCCTTCATCTAAAGAAAGAAAAATAGAAAAACAAAGAGTTTTAGATCTATTATATAAACAAAGACAATCGCAGCTATAGTCAGTGCCAACGACCATCATGCCGCAAAGGCCAACATTACTAATGACTAATTATCAAGAAAACGAAAACAACACTGAATAGAAAACAAACGAATATAGAGGAATTTAGCTTGAATATTCTATGAGTTACGGGTCCGATTAGATAATATTATAGTTTGTTAAGTGCCCTAGGTAATCTTGGTATGCCACGGGTCCGAACTTTAAACTATTTCAATAACTCCAACTTGCATACCAAAAGAGAAGCATAGCATTTAGAAACTCAATATGTCAAGAGAGTTAATTGAAAAAAGAATAAGACAGAAAATAAAAGCTGAGAGAAAAAATATAACCACTAGAAAATGATTGGGAAAAAGGAATACTTTTTGTTGAGATGGCGGGAAAAAATGGATGCGCTTGTATCAGTGTCAATATGATTTTCAATTGCCTGAATTCTCTTGTTTATAAAAGAGTTATATATGTATCATTACACATTATAAACCTACCTATAAACGAGAATGCTTCTGGAAAAAGGTCAGTGAGATTCGCTTTACAATTATCCTCTACTGGTAAGGTCTTGTAGGTGAAGTTCTCGAGATGTGCGAAGGTATTTGGACGGTCATGGGTGACATTTAAAACATAAGATATTTTGTGTTTCTTCAACAGATCCAAGTTAGAGGCGTCCTTTTCTCCTCCCAGAAACAACTTGGGTAGAATTTCAGCCAGTTCGCCTTTAGTTCTCTTTTTAGAGTCCGGAGTTGTTGGAGCATTGGACGGGAGAGTTCTTGCTTGAGGTTGTTGATCACTTGGTTCGCGTAAAGTCAAACCGGTTAGTGATAACAGAGGGTGACCATAGTCTTCACCACTCTCACAAAAACTTGGGCATTTTTCTTGAAATTTGGAAAAACCACCTGTAGAATGAGGTATAAATGATTAATGAAGTTCTTCTTAAAGCAATTAAGTTTCAGAAGTGAAAAAAAATTACGATAAAAAACGCTGTGGGGTAACTGGTACAAACTAGAACAGAAAATGAGCAGCGTACAAATTGATTTCAAACTAAAATTTTAAGAGTATTTCTATTGAAATCGCATCCAGTAAAGTATGTAAAGGGAAATTAGTTAAGTATAACTTAAATATTTATAACTTAATTACTTACCTTCTAAAAGACGGACTGTCGATGAAGAGCAATCTTCGGCCAGTTTTCGAATGACAACTGCAAGAGCCGAGTTGAGTCCAATAGACGAAATATCCTTGGTTGACGAATCGTACAGAACAATCCCACTGGCAAGAGGTAGATTTTTATTAAACTGTTCCTTTCCTTCTTCCGATGTTATCAACGAAGTAATAGAAAAACTATTCCCCTTTTTGAGCCTTCTCAACATTAGCGAAGGAATAGTCAGGTTGATAGCTCCTTGAACATGGCTACGAGCGAATTCGGCAAAGGGACGACAGTCCAGTAACAGAATATAATTTTGATTTCTTAACTGTTCACTGAGCCAAGAGACACTCGCTCCTCTAGCCATTAGCTTTTTCTTGTCAGCCTGCGTCCTCCGATAGGATCGTGGACTCTCCACTACGAGCGATAAAGACGGCATGTTTGGTCCTCGGGTAAAATCTTCAAGTGTTGGTATTCGTCCTCGTAGAGCTTCTTTAGTCGACCCAGCTCGCCATTTGATACGCTTCGACAAGCGCTTTGTTTTAAGTGTAAATTTGATTGACATTTCCCCTCAAGATAGTGTATTGGTATTTTGGAAATGTCCAATCAGAGAAGAGTATGTAAAAATAACTCTTTCACACACCATGCGTAATACCTTAGATCACCGTGACAACCAAGTCCGTCACAGGGGGGAGTGACAGAATGTCAAAGAGTTTCCGGCCTAGACAAGGTAATAACACAATTTGCATAAACCAGTTGCGAAATGAAGAAATATAACCCGATCTTAGCATAGAAGCTTCATACTTTATTCGTCAGAGGGATGCTTGGTCCATGGGTTGTCCACTCTATGATTTTTGATCGAAAATTTTCGAATTATTCACCGAGTTTTAGGTGTTTACTTTTTGTTGTTCTTAAAAGTAATTAGCGTAAAGACAAAAGAGAAATTGGGTGTGTCTTAATGAGGTATTCAATTTATTACTCCTAAAGTCCGTTGAACGCACAAGAACTTTTGTGACGTCAATTGATTAAGCTATTCTACTAATAATAAAGATTAAGTTAAAAAATAATTACTTGAAAAAAAGAAACCAGTAGCAAAATATAAATTGATAACTCTGGTTTGTTTATCTAGCTTTGAAGGTAATAGCAAAGCTATCGATCACTTCAAACGCGTTTGTTGATATAGAAAGAGGGCAAAGGTGAACGTGTAAAATCTCGTGGTCTTGAAATAGCTTACTACTAAAGCCAACAGACCGGACACTTAGGGTGGGGAGTCTTTGATTAAGACATGCTAGAGAATGTACCACAATTTTCTTAACGGAAATGAGCCGAAAGCAAAGATAAATAAAACTTTAAGATAGAAAATTATTAAGCGTCTAAAGGGCACACGTACCTTTTGATGAACGTTCGGAGTAATGAAACTCTAGACTCATTCAAGTCCATTTTACTGGTAATTTCAATTATTTAATCATTCATTAATCGATTTGCTATATCAGTTTTTTCTCTGTGGTATATTCTTAAGAGTTTACGTCCATCATTGCAAGTGCCGGTATTGATCTCTCGAATATAGAAACTTTTCAAAAGACCACTGCCGATGCATACTGCCAAATTAAAATGAAATAAGAGAGGAATAAAAATGAGAAGTAAAGAAAAGTAAAGAAAATGTGAAGTTCAAGTTTCCAAACAAAGTGCTGATTAATTATTTGAGGGAGTGTGCGAGTTTTTATTCTTTCTCGTCAGAAGGATTGTTTCTTTTCCCAAGTAAAAATCCGGCATTCTTTTTCAAATAATTTTGAACAACAATTTTATGACGACTCAAGCTAGAGACCTTTCCTAAACGACTATGTTTCTAGAAGGATTGTTCAGTTTTTACCTCGCCGCTCTCGAGCACGCATCTTCGGTTTTCACCGTGAACTTGGTTTAAACCCACGCGGTCTTAAACACTAGTAGATTCTGCCTCTGAACGAAAAATCTGCCATGCGATGGTTTAAATATATTGACCATGACATCCAAGTGAACTCCCCTCTTCGAAGTCCTCCGCTCTTTAGAAATAAGAAACTCACAGCTTACGTCTTCGAAATCATGTTTAGAAATATCAATAATTTATCTAAAATTATTTTGCTGTTAAAAAAATTTGTATGAAACTCTAACAAATGATACTTTGATAATTTGAAAAGTGTCATTGTGTTCACTTATGAAAAACAAAAATTTATTTAATTGTCGCGCGTTGGTGGATTAAAATCAAACAAGAAGGGACTTTGGGCTCTAGCATTTTGATGTCTCCAGGTTGGCGGGTCGGACCTTGAACCCCAGTAGCTACATGAAAATTACTTCCGGGAAGTCACCTCTTGTTAGGAGGAGAGAGATAAGAAAAATATTTAGAAGCAGGATGACTGGATTGTTTTAGAGAATAGCTAAGGATGTGCATATTTTCTGGCAAACGAGAGTACGAGGGTGTGAACAACTTAGCACATGACATCCTTTCCTAAAAATCTCCCTTACATCCAGCGGAGTACACACACATTCCTCTCCCTCTTCCTATTATGTGTGAAACAGGAACGATAATCAAATTACGATTTGGAACCACACTTGTCCGTTCGTAATGAAGATTCATCAGTTATGTGGTAGTGAAGGAGGGATACCGACAAATATGACAAATTTCTACTGAAAACTCATCCATCTGGTATAGTCTCTCCCTGTGATACCTATCAAAAACTATGAACCATTTCAGTTGATATACACCTCTTTTACTGATGAAGTCGCCATCTTGAATCTTGGGATGCCAAGGGGTGCCAAACGTAGAAAATTTATGAATTATAAACTGCTGGCGGGCTTACGTTTTCGAATAATTTAGAGTCTTGGTGTTTCACATATCCTTCCAACTACCAGCAAATTCAATTGCTTTTTAGATCTGCTTCTTATTGAAAAGAGTAATGTTCAGCTAAAAAGACAAACCCCTGACAGCTGCGGTGTCTAAATAGCCTATAAGTTGGTGCACTATCGCATCGGAATTAAACATGGCTGCCGTATCGGAAAGATATTCTATTAGAGAGTTTTAGATTTACTTTCACGGAAGAGAATATGAAGTTCTTACTTGCTTGGTCCACGGCAAATGTGAAACGTCAGTTGACCAGTAAAAAATTCTTTATGAGTGAAAAGAAATCGCAAAAAAACCCCAAGAAGTTGTCTTTGGCATGAGAAGGTTTATAAAAAGGTGAAATAAAATACAGGAAAACGATGAAAAACGACGTGGTCACGTTTGCCGTTTGCGGGAAGAAAAAAGTCAATCTAAAATTTTGTAATAATGCAGCTCAACTCGAGGCTCATCAGCAAACTTGTAAAATAAAAAGAAATCCAATGAAAATCACGGCTACAAGTAAACGCTACGAATTTGTGTTCGTAAAGATCAATGAATTATTCTCATTATTTTTGGTACAGTTTGTACGGACTCCAACATTAAAGCCATGAATCTCGACCAGATGGTAAGTTTATCGAATGATTTGAGTCATTCCTTCTCCTCATTGACGTCAAGATAGTACACCAAATCATCACTCTTTCCAAAGGTAGAATAAGTTTGCCTGAAACAGGCAGGAACAATGAATGCGCATAAAAAAACTACAATAGTTTCAGTAATTCGGTTTTTTCTTTCCTTTGCGCGGTTCAGATGAATGAACTTTCTATTTTTATCAATGTACTTTGTACAATTTTCATTCGAAAACAATAACAATGCAATTCCTATTAACTACAAGTTCATTCAAGAAACACAAGAATGATCGTTACCGCATTTCCGTCCACCATCTGCACCAAAATACCAAGCCCTGAATACTACTGGGCGAGGCTGCGGAAAAGAGCATTAAATCGATCACTTCAATGTCATATTGGCGTGAAGAATGACCTTGACAAATACCGCATGAATACAGAAATGATACTAGCTTAACAAACTTATCATCTTAAAAAGTAGCCAGAACAATTATAGAAGTTTAGAACATGAAACAACCGGTTGTATAGTTAGTGAGTAAAAGTCAAACGAAAGAAAACAATGGAATTAGTATTAATACTTCTATGTATTACTGACTTTTAAAATATATATTAAATTTTAATCTTTTAAAACGATGCTTCCGAGTTATTAGCTATTTTTTTCGGCAAGTAAATCGCTCTCATAAAGCATGGAGTTTCAGACTGAAGTCGGTCATGTCGGTATATGCATATGTTTTTTTTTTTTTTTTTTGGTTTTTGTTTTTGTTTTTTTGTTTTTTGATTAAGTTTATTTTTCACAATGTTATATCATTCGTTTTTTTACCCTAATGATGATCAGTGGTATTTGTCTACATGTCTACATGTCTACATACATCAATCTGCAAGAAACGAGAATTAAGACATAAACTCAAAGCGGTGAGTATAATCGAGTTACTTTGCAGAGCCAGATAAAAATCTAGGAAACTGAGCCCATATGCATGAGGAAATATCACCGAATCTAGAAATGGTTACATTTGAGAAGCATGTGGTGTGGTGGTTTTAGCCACAATCAGTAGTCCTTCCCTGTTGCCAAGCCAGCCATTCCTGATGTTGAACAACTCTCTATTGAAAAAAATATCATAACATCCTGGTTTACACGTGCAGTCTTTAATTGATTGTACCCGATTGTACCATGTTCAACAGTTCAGTTTACAAACACAGCAAAAAATGGTTCCGGTGCGCGTTAAAGGCACGACAAGACTACATCTTTAGATACATGAAGTATCTATTTTCTTTCAAAAGTTCTAGTTAAGTTATCAGGTAAGGTCGCACCACGTCTCTTTATCACTAAATGACAGCACCCTTGAATGGAGAAAATAAAATGCTAAAATACATGGTAGTTTTCGGAGAATCGGCTTACATGTATAAAAATATTAGGAAATTTGGATGCTAAGCTTGACAAATTTCGTAATGAGTATGAGTAAAAACTCACTCGCAGTTTTGTAAAATTTTGTTTTTGTTCATGCGGTATGACTGAAAGTGCGCCTCTTCCCGCTACGAAACAGTCACCTTGTAGGAAAATATTTTTTATATCCAGACCAATTGCTATAAATGTCTACTCCAACTTGTGAACCATTTTGAAAGTTGTTTTCATCCTCTACGAGTTTAGAATCTCCCGTTTTTCTTCGGCTCTTTTTATCCACCAACTTCAAACAACGTCTGCATACTGGTTGAACATTCAGTTTAGCCCCGTCGTTCTAGGTTAAATGTCGAAATTTTCAGATGTTTCAGTGATCAGGTACTGCTACACTGCATGTGCCCCGTGGAGGCTGTTGTACTTTCGTTTAGTATAACGGACTTTATTTATTGTTATATAAGTATCATCTTTGGTTTATATTGAAATCTTTCAAAACATCTGAAGTCGAGCAAAATTCCCCTTAATATATTGTCCTAAAACTCAACGGCCCAACCAGAACCACATACAAGCAAGTTGATGTAGTGAAAATTACTTAAAGTTTGTTTCTTTGTTTTCTGACTTGGTAAAAGTTTCAACTGGTGTGATCCGAAAGTCAAAGGAAATGTAGTCGTGTGATTTTATTTGGCTAAGAACTAGCTGTGTACGCATGCGTACGGATATTAGACCCAGCAGACTTGGCGTTTCAGCTGCAGAGATGAGTTCTGTTTTTTGTTCTTCTTGGACACTTGTATGGATTTTTTTCTATCTTGTTTAGATCATAGTTAACTATCATGATTAGATAGAAATGCTTTCATATCAACGTTCCTGGGGTAAAAAAACTTGTGTTTTCTTGACTATATATATATAAACCAATTAATATTCTCTTGTAAAAACTCAGTACAATATACGAACAAAAGTACTGATGTAGTCAACAATGCAATATTTCTAAACTAACCAACTTGAAAAGTTGAAAGTTGAAACTGAAGGCGAACGGAAGGAAATAACTTCAAAGACAACTCACAAAAACCACATTCTGCCAAGTCCCTGGCTAACCTTGGCTAACCTTGGAAAGTAAATCATTAAGAAGACTGAAAATAGGCGTGTCTGCTCAAGGGAAATTTTCCGCTCCCTTTTGCTTTGGTTTCCGTAACAGACTGGAGTTTATCGAACTGGTTTCCTTGACGTTACATGGCGAACAATTTAGAGGAAACAGCATTGATAAGTCGATCAATAGTTACTTATATATATATAACCTTGCTACTGTTAGAGCTGTTCGTTGATGATTGTGGTAAGCTATTTTAAAATCTACTGGATGCAGTCCAGTTGTGAGGAAAACCACAGTTTTCATTACTGATTGACATGAAAAAGTTCGATATTACATTTGGATAAACCCCTTGAGAGGGATGGAGAGGGGAGTTGGTAAATGTGATCAAAATTAAACTCAGGGGTAATTGCCCTATTTCACTATGACGTCACATCAAAATAATCTATTGTTTAAACGCAAGGGATCATGGTCGTCGGAGGGGGTCAAATGAACGCACATTCACCGAAAATTGTTCTAAAATCCGTATCAATCCACGAAGAGAAGTAGAATAGCCAGCAAACGCTCAGAATATTTTTTAGTGCATATTAACACACATATCTGAAAACCAGGCCATATATGTTTAGATTAAGGTGACTGCCTACTTTTGGAAATTGATTTAAGCTTTTTTTAAAACTTCCATTTTCCGAATTGAAATTTAATGCTGATTCCAAATCTGGAAAGAAAAATAGGGTGTCCCGAGCTCGTTTTCGAGATAATCAGCATTTAATGGAAGCCTACGCACGAGCTTTTGGAGTAAAAATTGCGCCAC